CTCTGTCTGCCCATTCTACTTATCAGTGACAGTAGAGACACACCCTGAAATGGACTTCTTTTTTCTTGTTTTGTTTTTTCTTGATTCTTTGTTCTTGTTTTTATATGAGCGTGAGTTTTTTGTTGTTCTGAGTGTGAGTGTTTTGTTGTTCTGTTCTGTTCTTGTTTTTATTTCTTCCTTCTTCTTCCCTCCTGTCTTCTTTACCAGTTTCCCAAAGTACACATATACTTCCTTTGTCCTGCAGTCTTGCTTCTAATCTCTTCCTCTTCTATTTCTCTATTTTCCCCCTAACCCTTTTAAATTTTTCTCCCCTGAGTATTGAGCGCATATTTACTGTATACAATTATTGAAGAATTGGTTCTTTAGGGCCTGGGATTTAGCTCAGTGGTTCAGCCATTGCCTTCAAAGTGCAAGGTCCCAAGTTCAATCCCTGGTACCAAAAATAAAATTGGTTCTTTAAAAGATTAAATAAAATTGGCAAACCTTTAGCCAACCTTGTCAATAAAGGAAAGAAAAGACTCAAATCCATGCAATTAGGGATGAAAAGGGGGAAATCACAACAGATCCTGCAGAAATCAAGAAGATCATCAAGATCATCAATACCTACTTTGAGAACCCATTTGTTTGTTTGTTTTGAGACAGGGTCTCACTATACAGTTCAGGCTGGCCTGGAACTCTCAGATCCTCCTGCCTCAGCCTCCCAAGTGCTGGGATTAGAGCTGTGCAGGACCACACCTGGCAAGAGAACCTGTATCTTAATAAGATGGAAAACACAGAAGAAATAGACAGATTCCTAGATACATACAAATTATCAAAGCTGAATGAAGATATAAAAATTCTAAATAAATCAATATCAGTCAATGGAGTTGAAGATGTAATTTAAAAACCTACCAACAAAGAAAAGCCCAGGCTCTGATGGATTCCTTGTTGAATTCTACAAGAAATTTATAGGAGACCTAGTGCCAATACTTCTCAAACTCTTTAATGAAATTGAAAGGAAAGCAATATTCCCAAAGTCAGTCCTCGAAGCAAGCATTACCCTGATACCAAAACCAGAGAAGGATCCAACCAAAAAAGAAGACTACAGGGCCGGGGATTTAGCTCATTGGTTTCACCACCTGCTATGGAGGTGCAAAGACCCGAGTTCGATCCCTGGTACCAAAAAAAAAAAAAGAAGACTACAGGCCAATGTCCCTAATGAACATAGTTGAAAAGATCCTCAATAAGATACTGGCAAACAGAATGCAGCAAATCATCAAGATTATACACCAAGACCAAGTAAGATTCGCCCCAGGGATGTAGGGATGGTTCAACATATGCAAATCAATAAATGTAATACACTATATCAATAGAGCCAAGGACAAAAACCATATGATCCTCTCAATAGGTGCAGAAAAAGTGCTTGACAGAATCTAACACCCATTCATAATAAAAACTGTACAGAAATTTTGAATTGATGGTCTTTATCTCAATCTGACAAAAGCCATCTATGACAAACTGACAGCCAACATCATACTGAACGGACAAAGCTTTCACGCTAAAATTTGGAACAAGACAAGGATACCCACTATCACCACTCCTGTTCAACATAGTTTTGGGAAAAATATATATATATATATATAGTTTTGAAAACACTAGCCAGAGCAATTAGACAAGAGAAAGAAATAAAAGAAAAATAAGGATAGGAAAGGAAGAAGTTCAATTGTCATTATTTGTGGATGACAGGATACTCTACATAGAAGACCCCCAAACATCAAAACACTTGTAGCCTTAATAACCAAATTCAGTAGTGTAGCTGGATACAAAGTCAACCCTCACAAATCAATAGCATTCCTGTACATAAATAACAAACTCACTGAGAGAGAAATTAGGAAAGTAACACCTTTCACAATAGGATCCCTCAAAATGAAATACTAGGTATCAATCTAACAAAGGAATTAAAAGACCTTTACATGGAAAACTACAATACTCTGAAAAAGGACATTGAAGAGGATATCAAGGGCTGGGGATTTAGCTCAGTGGTTTTACCGCCCGCTGTGCAAGCTCAAGGACCCGAGTTCAATGCCCAGTACCAAAAAAAAAAAAAAAGAGGATATCAAAAAATGGAAAGATCTCCCTTGTTCTTGGGTAGGAAGAACTAATATAGTGAAAATGGCCACATTTCCAAAATTGTTATACAGATTTATTATTCTTAATAATTTACTATTATTTATTATTATTGCAATCCCAATCAAAATCCCAACAGCATATCTCGCATAATTAGAAAAACCATCCTAAAATTCATTTGGAACCAGAAGAAAGCAAAAACAATCCTGGGCAACAAAGGCAAGGCAGGGGCATCACAATCCTTAACTTAAAGTTATACTACAATGCTACTGTGACAAAAACAGCCAGGCATGGTGGTGCATGCCTATAATTCCAGCACTCGGGAGGCTGAGGCAGGAGTATTGCTGTGAGTTTGAGACCAGCCTAGGGTGCATAGTGATTTCAAGGACAGTCTAAACTACATAGCGAGACCTTGTCTCAAAACAAACAACAACAAAAAACACCAGCATGGTACCTGCAAAAAAACAGACCTGAGGATCAGTGGAACAGATTAAAAGATGCAGAAATAACTCCAGACATACTCAATCATCTTATCTTTGACAAAGGAGCCAAACATCCTCACTGGAAGAAAGCCTCTTTAATAAATGGTGCTGGAAAAGGTGGCTGTCCACATGCTGAAGATTAAAACTAGACCCATATCTTTCACCACACACTAAACTAAAATCAAAATGGATCAGAAATCTAAATATTAAAACAGAAACACTAAATCATCTGGAAAACAGGATAGAACCCTTGAAGACATTGGTGTAGGCAAAGACGTTATGAACAAAACCCCACTAGCACAGCAAATATCATAAAGACTCAACAACTGTGATCTCATCTTATTAAAAAGCTTTTTCCCAGCAAAAGAAACCACCAATAGAGCGAAGAGACAACCCACAATGTGGGAAAAATTTTTTGCCAGGTGTTTCTCAAAGGGCTAACATGTAGAATATATAAAGAACTCAAAAAAATCAGACACCCCAAATTTAAAGACCCAATCCAAAAATGGGCATCTGAGATGAATACACACTTCTTAGTTGAAGAAGCAGAAATAGCAAATGAAGAAATGTTCAACATCACTGGTCATTCAAGAGATGCAAATTAAAACAATGCTGCGATTCCATCTCAGTCCAGAAAGAATGGCTATTATCAAGAAATCAACCAATAACAAATGCTAAAACAAACAACAAAAACAAAATGCTGGTGAGGCTGTGGGGAAAAAGAAAACCTTCTCCACTGTTGGTGGGAGTGTAGACTGGAGCAACCACTATGGAAATCAGTATAGAGATTACTTTAAAAGCTAAAACTAGAGGTTCCATTTGACCCAGCTATTCTCCTTATTGATATCTTCCCAAAAGATTTAAAAGCATCATACCACAGTAATATATCCACACCCATGTTTATAGTGGCACAGTTTGTAATAGCTAAATTTCATAAACAGCCCAATTTCCCATCAACTGATAAATGGATAAATAAGATGTGATTTTTTATTCATGGAGTACTACTCTGCCCTAAAGATGGATAAGCTTGAGACATTTCTAGCTAAATGGATACACCTTGAGACTGTACTCAAGTGAAATAAATTCAACACACATTTAAATATTTCATTCTTTCTCTGGTGTGAAAAACTGGAAGTGGAAATAAGGACCAAATTATATAATAAATATTTGGAAATGGGAAGAAAATGTTCAAAGGAGAAGGGGAACAAAGGAGAGGGGAAGGGAAAGGAAGGAAGGGACAAGAAAAAAAGAATAAAAGGAAAAGAATGGAAAAAAACCTTTGTAACTAAGAATGGGAAGAGAAGTAAAAGGGAGAGGAGGGAAATGGGAAAAGAAGAAAAAAGATACATCATGTACAGGTTCAAATTTCCTATGATGAATGTGAAGATTGTGTATATCTAAAATGTACCAATGAAAAAACACAGTTTATAAATTTTAAAACTACCTGTTTTTAAAAAATAAAGTTTTCTTTGGGGGAAAAAGAGTACAAGCTAATGTGGGCAGGGATTTGTGTCTGCTCATGGCCATGGTTCCTGTGATGAGAACTGAATATTTGTGTCCCTCCCTCTACAAAATTCATGTACTGCAATCCTAATCTCACAGGTGCTTGTATTGGAAGGTGGGGCCTTTGGTAGGTGATTCGGTCATGAGGGTGGTGCCCTCAAGAATGGGATTAGTGCCCTTATAAGCCAGAGAGCCAGTCCACCCTTCCTCCTGTGTCCTCACTAGACACCAAATCTGCCCATGCTGTAATCCTGGACTTCCTGGCCTCCAGAACCGCAGGAAACTTCTGTTGTGTGTAAACCACCAAGTCTATGGTATTTTGTTGTAACTGCCAGAGGAGACTAAGACAGCTTGAGATATGGTAGGTATCTACAATGTTTGTTGAAGAATGACAGACAGTGCCAGGCAAAGGGAACTGGATGTCCCTTTTCTGGTTCCCAGTGGTCTGTCTGAAGCCCCTGTCAGCCACAGTGTCTGTAGTTCCCTACCCCTTCTGTGGGGTTCTCAACAGTTAAGACTTCGGACCAGCTCACAGCTGTTCTGTTCTCACCCCCACATCCAGGTGTTCAGTGTGGGGGTTTCTAGTGCCTCTTAATATCCCCCTGCATGTTCAAGACCCCCAGGGTCCCCTCACTCTGTCCCTTCTGCCCTCTGAACACCAGCTGTTGTCACCAGCGGACCAGCTGCTTGGGAAACACAGGCATGCAAGGTCCCTCACTGTGGATTTGCTGAGCCAGGATTTTGACCCAAATCCCTAGTTCCCATAGCCCCACAACGCCTCCCTACAATTGTCCTCAGACAGACTGTGCCATCCACAGCCAGTTTCACAGCCATTGAGACCCCCGACTGCAGTCCTCCCTGTCCCACCCCTCACCCCCACGGCGGGGGGGGGCAGGCAAGAGGCCAGACTTCTGCTACAAACAGGTTTTTATTAAAGATGAGAAGCCAGGTGTTTATTAAAGATGAGGAGGGAGCAGAAAAGGGGGACAGTGCCTCCTCTGCCCACTGCCTTTGGCTGCTCACGGGAGGGGAGCCCCTCTGCTCTACCCCATGCTCCCCAAGATGGCACGTCTGCGTGAGGCCCAGGCAGAGTGGGCAAGGTGGACAGGTGGGTTCCGAGAAAAAAAAGTCCTTTCCCACAGCCCTAATAAATAAGAGAAGGGTTTGGGGAGTGCCCTGGGCACAGGCAAGTGGAGACACAGCACCCTGAACCCCAAAACCTCAACTGGGGCAAGCCCTGCTTAAGTAGGGATTGGGAGGGACTGGATGAGAGGGTACACACGAGGGAGGGGAAAAGGTACCCCAGGACCCTGCCATTGGGGAGCCTGTCCCCCACCCTAGCTGGGCTCTGTGATTCTGAGAGAGGACCTGGTGACAAAGGATGACCCCCCGCCCTCCTCCTGTGTGCACACGAGTAAACACGGGCGGTCCCCCATTGACTGGAATCATACCCACCCATTCTAGAAATTCTGAAAGCCAAGGGCTCCTATTGGGTGTTCAGACACTGAACACTGGCTGGAGTTGCAAAATTGCCTGAGGATTCCAGGAAGTGATAGGGAGACTCCCATTGGCTGGAATAAACTCTTTTTGGGGAGAATTCTGAGAAGTGGAGACTCATTGGCTGGGCAGTAGCCAATAGGGTCAAGTTTTAGCCCTTTAAAGGGCAGTCTTAAGGGAAAGTGCCCATCTGCAAGTCTACCTACAGAGAGGTCCCAGAAGGCAGAGGCAGGGGTTCTCGCAGTTGCCCCTCCAGCCATCTCCTGATATCTGAACCTGGCTGGGTTGGGAGGCAGGGGGCTTTGGCACTCTCATGGCACACGCACACACACGCGTGGGGGGGGGGCGAGAAACAGGGACAAGGGCAGATTCCGGGGTGGGGGTGGGGTCTCACAGCAGGTGGTCGCGGCTGGCAAACAGGTAAGGGCTGAAGTTGTCCCGGTGGAAGGGGGAGGGATAGAGTCCACTCAGGGTGTACAGGTCCCGCAGCAGGGGCGTGGGCAGCAGCAGCTTCCGGCCACGCCCCCCGCCCCCGCCCGGCCCCCCAGGTCCAGGGGAGGAGGGCGAGGGCCCCTGGCTGGGGGTTGGCGCCGGCGCGGGCAGGGGCAGGGGCAGGGGCAGGGGCGTTGGCTCAGACCTCAATCGAGGGCGGGGCACACGGGGCGACGAACACATGGCTGGGGCCCTGGAGGACACGCAGCTGGGCATCAGGTGGCCACGGCGGGCGCAGTTCTGCGGCTCTAGAGTTCAGGAGACAGAGAGCAGGGGATTAGAAAACATGGGCGGCGTCCAAGGAAGCTTAGGGGGATCTTTTGCCAGTGGCTGCCCATGGGGAAGTCCCACTGCCACTGTTTATCCCACACACACACTTCCTCGGTACTCACTGGATGGGGTGAGCCGCGCCGGTGTCGAATGCGGCCTGCAGGCCTCCGGTTCCTGAGACAGAGATGCAGAGGGAAGGGGCTAGAGGATCCCTGGACCCCGCCTTCGGAGGCAAGAGAGGCTCAGCCGGCAGAGCCCCGTGGAAAAGACAAAACAGAGTCGTATGGATAAGTGCTGCCCCTTTGGAACAGGAGGGACAGGAGAGGAGGGCACACTTCCACTCTGGGCCATCCCTGCCGCAGGACCTGGCCCACAGATAAACACCCCTCACCTCCCCCGGCTCAGACACCCCCGCCTCTTGCCTGACTTCCTGCCTCTTGGCCCTCCACCCACCACCCTCTCCAGCCGGGAGCAGCCCCCGGCCCCCCTTACCTGGGCCACACTTAACTTTTCGAGGGGGCTCTCCATGGTGGGTGTGGGGCCCAGGTCCTCCCAGGGGGAGGGCCTTCGGCCAGAGGGTGGCCGGCTCTGGAAATTGTGGACGACACAGGTGACCTTGGACAGAAGAGGGGAGGCCTGAGGCTAGAAATGTAGGAGTTACAGAAACACCAGCCCTATCTTTCAGATAAAGAAACTGAGGCTCAGGTTTTCAAGAACAGGTAACATTTTCATGGCACTTACTGAGAGTCAAGAACCACTCTTTCCACCTTACTGAAAGGTCGGTAGTGTCATTATTTACCCCACAGGGCCAGGACTAATAAGGCTGTGTTTTCCAAGGTCAGGTTTCAACCTGTATTCATTTAAGTTTTTGTGGTTGCAGGGCTTCACACATACTAGGCAAACACTTTACTCTTCAGCTACAACCCTGTGTCATGTTTTTTGGGAGGTGTTTTTGTTTGGTTTTTAAAAACATTTTTTATTGGTACCAGGGGATCAAACTCAGGACCTTGTGCTTGTCAGGCAGGTGCGGCACCACTGAGCTAAATCCCTGGCTTGTTTGGTTTTTGAGACAGGGTTTCACTATGTAGTTCATGCCGGCCTCAGCTTCCATGGTCCTGGGATTATAGGTGCTTGCTACTATGCCCGGTTTAGCCTCATTTAAATGTTTGATATTTTAGCCGGGGTTGGTGTGCTGTGCATGCCTGTCATCCCAGCACTCAAGAAACTGAGGCAGGAGGATTACCACAAGTTTTTTGGGGGGGGTTTGGTACCAGGGATCAAACTTGGGTCTGTTTGTGAGGCAGGTGGTGGAAGCACTGATCTAAATCCCCGGCACAGTCACCACAAATTTGAGGCTAGCTGAGTGCAAAGCCAGTCTGGACTATATAGGGAGACCCTGTCTCAAAAAACAAAACAAAACAAAAAAATGTTTGGCATGAATTTTGACACCCTTCAACCCGAAATGAAGAATGAACCCAGGGAGCACTGAACTACATCACCAGCACTTTTTCATCTTTTAAAATGTGAGACACGTTCTCACTAAGTTGTCCGGGCTGGCCTTGAACTTGCTGAGATTACATGTATGTGGCACCAAGCCCACCATGAATTTTTAAAAAAATTTTTTTAGGCAGATTTTTTTTTTTCCTTTTTGAGACAGTATCTTTCTATCTATCTTTTTTTTTTTGGTACTGGGGATTGAACTCGGGTCCTTGCGCTTGCGAGGCAGGCAGCAGAACCACTGAGCTAAATCCCCAGCCCAAGACAGCATCTTGATATGTACTTCAGGCTGGCCTTAAAGTTGTGGCAAGCCTCCCGCCTTACACCATTGCAGATTATAGCCATACACCCCCTTGCCCAGCTTTGTTTGTTTGTACTAGAACCCAAGGCCTTCACATTGAGCTACACTCTCAACCATGTTTATTTGCGACAGAATCTCACTAATTTGCTAAATTGCCCAGGCTAAGTTTGAACTTTCCATCCTCCTGACTCAGCCTCCCAAGTGCTTGGGATTACAGGCATAAGCCACCATACACAGCAAGAATTTTGATTTTCTAAATATTTCATTAAAATATTTATCTTGCGCTGAGTGTTTTGGCGTTCACCCCCTTAAATTTGGCACTGGGGGGAGTGCCTCACCCTGATCTTGATGTTATTATTGTCTCACTTTACGGATGCGACCATCCATGCAGGGGCAGGTTAAAGGACTCGCCTGGGCTGGCAGGGTCTACACTTTCCACCATCATGCAGGCCTGCCTTGGGCTAGAAGGGTCAGGGCTGGGGTGTCTCCCATGCAAAACTGGGTGGGCGGGAACTCACCAGAAAGGTGGCGATGGCCGCCCCGGTTAGGAAGCCGGCCAGCACGTCAGACCAGTGGTTGCGGTACTCAGCCACGCGGACCACGCCCACCAGGAAGGCAGGGCACAGCAGGGCCAGGCAGAGGGAGGGCTTAACCAGGCGGGAGCCCTTCACGCGGAACACTAGGGTCACGTACATCTGTGGGGGCCACGCTAGTCAGGGACAGGCGCAGGAGAGGTCGCTGATCCGAGGGGACCTTTCTGGCTGGGGGCGTGGCCAGGGGTGGGGCTTTCGTGGAGAGGTCAGGATCTGGGGCTCAGGTGCTCCCCAAGACGGAGTCATAATATGGGAAAGAAGCTCCTTGGGTTAGGGCGTGGCCAGAGAACCAAGGGAGAGGCGTCAGGGCCAAAGGAGCAGGTTCAGGAACCCCAGAAGGTGGCATCCTGAGCCCAGGGGACCACTGGCAGGGCTAGAAGCTTCAGGGACCAGAAAAAGGAGTCAAAGCAACAGAGTCAAAGCAAAAGCAGAGGACAGTTAGAAGTCCTAACGCTGTCAAGAGTCAGGGGCGTGGGCAGGGCTCTGGGGGGCGGAGTGAAAACCCACCGCTCAGGCAGCCAGTCTTACTCAGGACCTGTAGCCTCAAAGAGCCAAAGAGCGGAGTCAATAGTCTCTTGGGCGTGGCATTGCTGGGGGCAGGGGGCGTGGCCAGACAGGACAAACTCAAGCTCAAGGGCGTGGGCTGAATGGGGGCGGAGTCAGAGGCGCCCCCCCCCCCGCTGGGTAGGCTCCGCCCCTGGGCTGGGCCACAGCATAGGCGGAGCTTCACAGAGGTAGGAGGAGCTCTCCAGGGTGCTCACCGCCGTGTAGGTGACCGCGTAGGCGCAGAGGGCCGCGTCCTTGCAGGGGAAGGCGCGGCGTGCGGCGGCCACCAGGCTGGGGCTCCCCGCGCAGGCGCCCTGGTCGGTGACAAAGCGGTCCGGCCCTGGCCGGTCAGGAGAGGGCGGAGGGCAGCCCAGGGCCGTGTAGTTGGGGCGGCACACGGACAGAAAGTGTGGCGTGGGGTTGCCAGTCACCACCTGTCCCGCGTTGGCAAAGATGGTCGTGGTGAAGAGGCCGAAGGAGTACACTCCTGGTGGAGGGGTACGGAGGGGGTCACCGCAAGGGCCCGGAGCTTCTAGCCCTTCCTCTTGAGAACCTCCTTGTGGCTCCATTGAGCCACTTGTTTCCTTGACCACCATAGAAGCACACCTGGGACCCTGTTATCCCTCGGCTAAGGTGTCCCTTCCTTTGGGACCACCATGATGGCTCCGCTCCCTTTGGTACATCTGATCTCATCCCTCTGGGGCTACCCCATGTCAGGAACCTATAGCTAGAGCTGGGCTGGGACCCCTCAACACCAACCAGCCCAATAGGACCGGGTCCATGTCTGGACTTCCTGGGAAGACTCTGATAACATTTCTGGGGCCCCGATACCTGCCACTGCACCAGCTCTTACCGAGTGGACCCCTCTCCCCCTGTGGCCCCACATGAGCCAGGGATGGGACTCCCTGGGGCAACCACTTGGGATCAACTCTGCTCCTCATGCTGTGACCAAGTGTGACAAGGGCTCCACTGAATGTGACTGGGAGTCTCATCTCCCTGCCCCATACACCATTTTGCTTGGCCACCACCATGTCCCTCCTTTTCCATGAGACTGCCCTGGTCTCATTTTGGGGGTCCCCATCCTCCAGTTGACACCCCGTCCTCCAGTTGGGTGGGGTAGACACCTCTAATGTCCCTGGAATCTCCCTTATGTCTGGTCTGAGCCCGGGTCCCTCTGCCCCCTGAAGACCCCAGCATGGCAATTTTAGGACTTCTTCCTTCCCACTTGCAATTCTCAACATGACTGAGCTGTTCGTAGCCCTTCACCTCTACGCCTGCCCCGCCCCCATCACCACAGGGCCGGCCCCAGACTTGCCGCTCACCCAGGAAGCGGACCAGCCTCCGCAGCGGGGGGCTGAAGCGACAGCAGGCCCCTGATACAATGGTGCTCTCCCCAACGACAGGGCTGGCTGAGGGTGGTGTGGGAAAGAAGGCCCGCGCCAACTCACCCAGCAGGATCTGTGGACAACACCGAGGTGGGGACTTCCTGGCTTTCAAACCCAGATGGCCACCAGCCCCCACCTTCCCTTCCCACCTCCTGGGAGGCGACCACCACCATCTCACCGTGAGGGTGGGCCCAGCAGTGACCAGGGCATAGATGAGGGCAGGAGGTGCTCGGCTGCTGGCCTCAGGCCCTGGGTAAGGCTTGGCATAGGTACTGTCATAGCAGAAGAAGCCCTGGGTGTGCACCGGGAAGGTGTCTGTGAACTCCAGGCGGTAAGCAAGCAGGACCACAATGCCCAGAAGAACAGACTGTGCCCAGCCAGGGCAGGAAGAGGCAGACAGGGAGAGAGAAGAGATGGTCAGAGGCGTGGAAGCCAGGAGACAGAGACACAGAAATGGAGGGAGAGAGAGACCCTGGAAGACAGACGGAGACCACCCGGGCATGGTGGTGCCTGCCTGTCATGCTAGCACTCGGGAGGCTGAGGCAGGAGGATCGCCATGAGCTCAAGGCTAGCCTGGGCTACATAGTGAGATCGAAGTCAGCCTGAACTTCATAGTGAGACCTTGCCTCAAAAATAAATAAATAAATAAATAAATAAAGTGGACAGAGACCAAGACAAAGAGGAGTGAGAGAGACAATGAGGGGAGAGAGGTAGGAGGGAAAGTTAGAGAAGGACTTGGGGGAGATGGAGATAGAAATACAAGTCAGGAGAAGAGGCAAAAAAGAGAAGAGAGAAGAAGGAAGGAAAGGAAGGGAAGGGAATAGAGAGAGGAAAGGTGGACATGGGAGAAACTGAGGCCCAGGTACCTAGAGCCCTTCAGTATGGGTGGATGGGGCAGACAAGGACACTTCTGAGCCCAAGCCACTTCTCAAGAGAAAGAGGACAGCAGTGGAGAGCCCGGGGTGACAGGGAGGAGGTGGAAAATGGTACAGGGGTGGCCTGGTGAGGAGGGCCTAGGGTTGGGCAGTCGGGAAGACAGGTGTGTCCCCTCTGGGAAGGGTCCTGAGGTCCTCACCTCCACAAAGACAAAGCAGGGAATGATGGAGAAGCTCCTTTTCAGGTGCGGTCTCCCTCCCGCCATGGTTGAAGGCTGGGCCTGTGAAGGCGCAGAGGGGTGGGCGCTCCAGGCGGACCACAGGGACCCTGGCCCCATCTCTGAGCCTTGTGGCCGCCAGGAACTCTGGCTCCACATCCTCGAGCCTTGTGGCCATGCCTCTGCAATCCGGGTCCTGCCCCGTTGGCCCCTGCTGGGACCCCCTTCCTGACACCACCTGCCCAGCCTCCTCTGGACTCCAGAGATGCTATAGTGGCCCCCTGCCTCTGTGGCCAGAACAGAGACTGGGACCCAGGCATCTTAGGAGGACCCCTCCCCCTCAGCCTTGGCAAGGGATTCCAGCAGCCAGGTGGAGACCCCTTCCCCTCAGCCCCTCCGCTGTCCTCTCAGGCCTGGGGTCTGGTGCGGGCTGATAGCCAGGGCCTCCTTCTCTCCCAGCTTCCTCCCCATCCTCCCCCTCCTTCTAGCCCCCTTGCCTCCCCCCTCTTGCTCAACTCAACCCTCCCCTGGTGCATCCTCATGCCCCAGCACTTTAGGGGCAACAGAGTCACACCTTCTGACCCCCATTGTTCCCCTGGATCTCACCTGTGAAGGCGCCCTAGGGCTTCCTACAGGCTGCCCCCACCACCACAGATTCACAGCCGCTGCCGGCAGCCAGCAGGGCGGGGATGGTCACCTCCATCATGCAGGTGGGGAAGCTGAGACCCAGGGAGGAGAGGGTAGCCACTCTGCGTTCGGCGCTTCATCCACAGGTTACTCTGTAGGGTAACATGGAGGGTCAGATGCCCAGAGTCACCAATGCTGGGGCTGCCCGTGTGCATGCAACTTAGCTAGATTTTCATCCCAGACACCACACACACCACACACACACACACACACACACACACCACGACATGGCGTCCATCACAATAACCAGGCATCCTGTGCTGGGCACCTGCCTTGCAGTGCACAAGACAGGCCCAGCTCATTCACACAGGTCCCCAACACCCACATCACTCACCACCACACTCACACACACATACACAACGCCTGTCATGGACACCCACACGGATCAAACATGTTCCCCCACATAAACATACAGGCAGAGACCCAACGCACAGCCCCAAACCCTCACCCTGCCACGGACTCGAGGCTGCCGACACACTTGAGTCACAGCAGAGTCACCTCACACAAGGGGAGTCACTGAACCGGTCACAGAGTCACACCCCCAGCTACCAGCACTCAATGACAGCCACACACATTAACAGTCTCTCATCTGGGCTGACAGTCATGGGAGACACATGGTGCCATCCACAGTCACAGCCACATGGTTACACAAGGGCACATACATGCAGCGTGACACACACACACACACAGCCACACAAGAAAGGCACACATGCCGGCATGCAGAATCAGCCACCCTCAGAATGAACACACAACAGCAGCCACACCATGACAGTCAAACGCACACAGCCGTCCTGACACCACGCCAGCCACGCTGTGAAAGCAGTCACACGGCAACCCAAGGAAGCCACAACATCACAACCACACGCACAGCAGAGCGTGATACCCACCACAGCAGCCACACGACGACAATCGCAGGAGACAGCCACACACTCGTGGACACACCCGGAGGGAGCCACACGGTCACAGTCACCCACAGTCATCCTCACCATCGCTGCTCAGCTCCTCAGGGCCAGGGTCCTCGCCAAGCTCCCCTCCCCCAGCCCCATGCGACGCCCCAGCTGGTCGCCTCCCCTCCCCCTCTTCGCGCTGTACCCGAAAAGATCCGATCGCAGGAACCGATGTCCCCACCGGGACAGGCAGATCGAGGGTAGGACGCCCCCAGGAGGGGGAGGGGGCGCCCCAAGCCCCTCCCCCGCCCCGTCTCTCCGTCCCCGCCGCTGCCTGAGCCCACTCCACCTAGACGACCTGGCGCAGCAGGACCGACGGACCAGTGGCCCAGCTGGCGGACGCGGGGCTGGGGACAAGATCCGCCGGGCCCTGCCGCGCGGCGCAGACTCCTAGGCGGGAAGGGGCGGGTCCTCTGGGCGCCTTATTTGCATAAACCAGTGGGGCGGGGATTCAGGGCGCTCATTAGCATGCCTGGGTGGAGCCTCTTTTCTTGGAGGCGGGGCGAGTTAGCACAGATTCTGTGAGAACGGAGAATGGAGGGCGAGGAGGACACTAGGATGGGAAGGGAGGGCTCCCCTCTGGGCCCTAGTTTTCCTACTTGGTATTGGTAGCCAGAGTCAGATCCCCAGGGCACCCTCCCCCACCAGAAAGGACCATGTGGAAAAGCCTGTCAGGCCACTCCTTCCTGGACAGACTGGCCCTGGACCTTGTCCTCATGCTGTCTCCTGACCCAAACGATCTCTGGGGTCTCTGCACCTGCCCTGACTCCCAGGAGTAACTTAGGGGTGAGGGGAGGTTCCCAGCATGGAAGCAGCAGGAGCAGGAGTCCGGGGTGAGGAGGGTCTCGGCTAGTTTATTTTCTCTCTGGAGGGCTCTTCAGGAAGAGCAGTCCCCGGCTCTTCAAGCTGTGGAGAGAGAAGGTGGTCAGGGCCTGGCCTGATCCAGGGGACCCCAAGATGCTCAGGCAGGGCAGGCCTGGAGGGGAAGGGTCGTGGGGGCCAGCGAGGAACCCCACCAGAAGGGAAGGCTCTGCTCTTGCCAAAAGGCGGTGGGTCCCAGTGGGATTCTGTGTCCCAGGAAGGGAGCCCAGGGCTCAGGCACCGGTGTCCCCTGTGTCCTGTGGGAGAGATGGGTGTAATTCTGGAGGCTCACGCAGGAATCCTGAATGTGAAGCTCTTAGTAATCTCAGAACGTGGCCCCGGTGTCCCTGGAGGTTATACCACAGTGGAACCATTATGGAAATCAGTGTGGAGATTCCTCAAAGGACTAAAACTAGAAACCTCATTTAACCCAGCTATTCCCCTTCTAGGGGTCTTCCTGAAAGAGTTAAAGACATTATATCACAGTGATCTATGCATACCCAGGTTTATAGCAGCACAATTCATAACAGCTAAATCTTGGAAGCAGCCTATGTGTCCACGAATAGATGGGTGAACAAAGAGAGTGTGTTATTCACACATGGTGGAGTACTACTCTGCCATAAAGAAGGATAAACGTGAGTCAGTCATCTGTAGGAAGATGGATGCACTTTGAGACCATAATGCTAAGTGAAGTAAATCAGACACACAAGTTTATATATCGCATGGTTTCTCTTATATGAGAAATCCAAAATATAAAGAACAAAATAAAAGACAGGTAATGGGAAGTAGGATAATAGGAAATGGGAAGGAGACCAAGAGATGGAGGGAGGGGAGAATGGGATGAAAAAAGAATTCAGATGTGTTAGGTACACACACCAACTCCACACAGGCATGCAGTCACTATGCACTGCAAACGTGTGCTAATGAAAAATAAAAATTGAAGAAAAAAGCCACAGTGATCCATGATCATGGCTCCTATATCCCTTGAATATGACCCAAAGTGACCCCACATGATGACTTCAGGGTACCCTCATTAACCTTTTTTTTGAGACAGGGTCTCGCTGGGTAGTCCAGGCTGGCCCTAAACTCACTATGTAGCCCAGGATGGCCTTGACTCTTTAAAAAGATCAGAGGGACCCTGAATGTGACTTTGAGAGACCTCTGGATGAAATCTTCAGTAACACATTATTGTAACCCCAGAACGTTACTTAATATGACTGGAAAGGTGGGACCCCCCACCCCAGTAGCACCTCTGGACCCAACCCCCCGTAAATGAAGCTGATGCTCAGCTCCTCACCCCTGAGGCTGGAGGTCCTGCAGGGGGCCTCTGAGTACATGGCAAGACCATCGATGGAATTCTGCAGCCCATGGACAGCAGACCTGTGGGAAGACCAAGAGATGGAGCCACTCAGGGGACCCCTGACTGCTCAGGGTGGGGACAGCAGCAGGGCTGAGGCCAGGGGAGCCATTGTAGGGCGAGTACTGGGAGGAGAGGAAAGTCCAGATTCCAGAAGTTGGAGCTGGAGTGGAGCAGATGAGATGAGGGTCGGGGGTCAGGGGTCAAGATCAGACTGGGGCCAGGCATCACCCTATGTCACTTAGTTCTTTCTGGAGGTCATCCTTCCAGTCATTGCTACCCAGCACTGCCTCCTCTCTCTCAGGACAGGCAGATGCCTCATATCCCTGCTGCTGCTGCTGCTGCTGCTGCTGCTGCTGCTTCATCTTTGTCAGGGCCCAGTGGGAAGAGAAATCAGCCACAAGAATGATGATGGTGAACAGTAACCATTGTATGTAGCCTTTACTATACACCAGGCTGCATTCAAGCCCTCAGTTAAGCAAGCTGCCCAATCAGGAAGGGAGCATTGCTATTATACCCATTACACAGACAAACGCACTGAGGGCCAGAGAGGCAACGTGATTTGCCCATGGTCACACAGCGTAAGTGGCAGAGCTGGGAGTTGAACCCAGCCTCCAGTCAGACTCCCACACACCCGCACCTCCTGCAGGGTCCCCCTTCCTCCACTACCCCACCTCTGTCACTCACCTTGCGACACTTCACCTGTGTTCTCTGCAGCTTCTTGATGTTGGAGAGATTCTCTGCGATCTCATCCTCCTGGGCCTCTGTGGGGGGATGGGGCTCGGGGGGACGGGGGTGGCAGAACAGCCCCCCTGTGGGTTTTGGGGTCTGGGCACTCACGGAGCTTCTGGTAGATGAAGGTCACCTCCTCCCGCGCCAGCTCCAGCTCCTCCCACAGGAACTTCTTGCTGAGGGGATGGGCTGTGAGGCCACCCCTGCCCATTCCAAGCCTCCTCCGCTCCTGGGTCCCCATCTGTCCAACCACCCAGGCTCTGTCCCCCTCCCACTACCACCCCCCTCCCCGGCCCTGTCCCCTCCTCAGGGCCTCCAGCCTAGCCACCCCTTGCCCGGCCTTCAGCGCCCCACCTCCGGGCCCTCCCCCACCGGCACCCCCACCTCCAGCTCCCCTGGCTTCCTTCCCATCCCACCCCCAGCCTCCTGTCTTCCCTGCCTTCTGTCCTCCAGTCCCCCCACACCCTCTCCACAGCCGCCTGTCTCCCCCAGGCCTCCTACCCCTTCCTGCTGTCCCCCAAGCCTTCCACATCCCCCCCAAGGTGGCTCTGATCTGGACCCGTCCATGGCCCTCTCCTGTTCTCCACCCTGGCCTCCCGCCAGCACCCACCTGTCCCGGATCTCCTGGGCCAGCAGCTGCAGGCAGCTAGTGGTGTGCGACCACCGCAGCTCCTCGCCATCTCGCAGGGTCCTTTGCAATCCCCGCAGGCCTTGCGCCAGGGCCCCGTACAGCTCCTGCTGACCCTGCTCTGTGCCCCGTTTGTGCCCATCGGTCTTGCCCTGGCGCCCCTTGGGGTTCAGCACCTCTTCGGAGAAGGTGGGACCCTGATGGAACCCTGGGCAACTTTTTGTTATTTTTTTGAGACAGGGTCTTGCTATGTAGTGCAGGCTGGCCTTGAACTCACTGTGTAGCCCAGGCTGACCTCAAACTCTCAGTGATCTTCCTGCCTCAGCCTCCTGAGTGCTGGAATTACAAATTTGCAACACCACACGTGGCTCCCCGAGGCAGCTTTGAACTCAGCTTGCCCTAACCTTGGCCTGACCTTGACCTTGACCTCAGACTCCCCCAACTCTGAGCCTGGCCTGAAACTGATGACCTTGGCAGCATCAGCTTCCAGCCTGACCTTGACTTCCATCCGCCCAGCGCTCACCTTCAAGCTGCTGGATCTTGATCTGTTGCAGGCAGCTTTCCTTCTCCAACATGGTCACCGAGTGGTTCAGGAACTCAAAGGCCTGGGTGGAAGAGGCCAGGCCTGGGACGGTAAGGAAGGAAGCGGGGAGGGGAGTGGAACAGAGGCTGCTGGGGCCGAGCACGGTGCTGCACCTTGGTCTGAGTTTGTAGCTGGCTCCTGAGTGACTCCAGTTCACACCACAAGAGCTTCTGCGAGTCGGGAATCATCCTGGTGGACTGGCCTGAGGGCGGTCAGCAGGGCTCCGAGAGGGGACAGGCAGTGGCCCACTGAGCCCCGCGGGGACGGCGAGTGGGCAATGATGGGGTTATGGAGGCCAGGGCGGAGGGCCAGGTGGGAGCTAGGCTGCCCCCCCACCCCCCGCACAGCCTCGTTGGTCCCCCTACCTTTGGCCGTGGGATTCCTGGTCTCTGAGGGTTTCTAGGGAACGAGGACAAGAGGGGAGTAGAAGTTTGCCCCTGCGGTGCTCACAGTGACCCAGATCAGAGGATTGGACAAAAGTTCGGCGTGTCCCAAGCCATGAGTGCAGGCAAAGCTGCCTCTGGTCCACTCATGCACCCCACGCCTCGCATGGCCTGCGCATGCTCAGAAGTCCACTTCAGTACACGCCCCATGCTTGTGGGCCTGTGGGTTGCCCCTGATGGCAGATGCCAGCCCTGTCTCTCGCTTTAGGGGCAAATGATGTCTACTGTGGACATCACAGCACTGGGCCCACAGTGGCCAAACTGGAACCTGAGCCACAAAGAAACAGCCACGCACACTAACCCACAAGGCCACACGCACCTCAGACACAAGCGCAGCCACTCATGCATACAGTGGAGTCACACCCAGAGGCCACCATGGAAAAGACCCATTGAAACCAGCCGCAGTGGCCCACACCTGTAGTCTCAGCACTCAGGAGGCTGAGGCAGGAAGACTGCTGTAAGCTCAAGCCCAGCCTGGGCTACGTAGTGAGACCCTGCCTCAAACAAAGCAAAGACACAACTGCGCATTTCTTCCATTCCTCCCTTCCACAGGGGAGATCCCACAGGCCACTGTTCTAGGTACTGAAGGCACACAGTGTGACATTGGTTGACAGTTGCCCCATCCTACTGTCCCTTCCCTAAGCCCCACAATGATGGATGGCAGTGGTTGTCTGGATGGAAGGGGTTTCCTAGATGGAGGTGACCTTGGCTGTGTCACAGTGCCACTTCAGGAGGTTGTGGTCCTGATGGGCCTCCTTCTGGAGGTCCAGGTCGGCAAAAGAGGGAGCCATGTGCACCTGCAGCCCGGAGCCAACCTCCAGCTTTCAGTCCCAGCTCCTCATACTGCTTTCCAAACAGGGGGCTGCTCCAGTCTCAGGCTGTGGGGTCCTGGACCAATGAGTCAGGCAGTCCAAAGCCTTGTCTGAGGGAGACCCTAGCGGTGAGGGACAGCCCAGAGCAGGTCCTGCATCCCAGCCCCTCCCAGCCCTCCAGCCCCAGGGCGGCTCCATGTCAGACCTTGGTACTTGTCACATGTCCTGCTGTCATCCGATGAACACATGCTGGAGGGCAAGGGAGGGAAAGAGCGACAGGGTATCAAGTAGTAAGGGTCCCGGGGCAGGCCGGTCAAAAGGGAGTCGCTGTGAAGAGGGCAGATGGGGGCTGCTTTGAGGCCAGCCCTGTGTTCCAGCACTCCCAGATTCTCCCCAAACCCTCCAGAGGCCTCCACCTTGACTGCTCAGCTTCTCTGTGGTGGCAGGAGCTGGGGCTGGATAAGGGATGACATCAGACCCCTGGTTGAGTTGGACAGTGAGAAGGACCAAGAAGATACCACAGAAATAAATGAGGCCCTTGCAGAGTGCTCTAGGAGGCTGAGGAAGGAGGATTGCAAGTTTGAGCCCAGTCTGGGGAACTTAGCAAAACCTTGACTCAGGGCAGGTTTGCCAGAAAAACTTCCAGGTGAAGGGATCCTTGTACTGGGTCACACTCATCCAGGTCCTCCAAACCTTCTAGACTTTTCTGTTGCTATTGCTGGGCCCGCTGACTGGGTGTTCTTCCCCTGACTCAGTCTCCCTAGAGGACTCATATACCCTTCAAAACCCTACCCAGCATGTTCTCTGTAAAATCTTTCTTAATCTTTTTTTTTCCTGAGACAGTATCTCTCTCTGTAGTCCAGGCTGGCCTTCAACTCCTTATGTAGCCCAGGCTGGCCTCGAACTCACAGAGATCCTCCTGCCTCAGCCTCCAGAGTGCTGGGATTATAGACATGCATCACCACACCCGGCCAGTGTTTGTTCTTGAGTATCATGCTGAAAGGCTGGGGACCATGGGAGCCCTTAGAGGCTTGGAGAAGGAAAAGGTAAAAGCGTTTTGGAGTGTCAACTGAAGGCAGGTCCCCAAGCCTGTATCCTGTCTCCCACTACGGTCTTGGCCACTGATGCTTCGGCTGCCTCTCCTGGGAGAATTCTTTCGGGAGGGGGCGGTACCATCAGACTAAGCTCCGCCCCCGGGCCATGAACCCGGCGCCCGCCAGACTCCCGACCCCCTCCTACTCCCACCTGCCACATAGCACCTGTTCTTGCTCTCCCATGCGGGACCGCGAAGTTAGTCTCTAGCTATGAAGCTGAAATTTGATCCCGTTGGGACTCCATCACATTAAAGCACAGACACTGAAGGCAGTCACAGAGAGGGGTGTGGCAGACGTTTTATCCCCGCCCTCTTGTTGGATGGGACGGTTTCATTGGTGCTTTGCTAGAGGCTGTTTAGTTGGATAAAAGCTTGACGAGGAGGCGGGATTTCAGGCTGGGGCCTGCTAGCCTATTAGTCAATATCTAAGAGGGCGGGACAAGAGGCCACAGATGTGCTATCCCGATTGGTCCCAGCCTCTAGGGGGGAGGCGGGACGAAATGTCGGTTTGAGCTGACCCAAGACTAGAGGCCCCGGAGGTTCGCGTTCGACTCGCGAGCGTGGAAGTGAGGTACAGGACTCAGCCGTCTGCCGCTTGAGGTCTGGTGCCAGAGCCAGTAGTAACCGATTCTGGGTGCTCCGGGTTGAGTTCCGGGTTCCCAACGGGGCCTCTGTGTCCTAGGGATGAGATTTGAGGTTTCCCGTGACTGGAAGGAGTTTTGGGGTCGTCATGGGTCGTGTGGTGAGGTGGGGGTCTCGGCCGTTAGAGCTGGATCCTTAGGGCGATATTTGGGGATCACGGGTGAGCGGTCTCTGAAGATCAATCACTAGGGCTGCGAACTGGAGGGCTGGGGCTGAAATTGGGGGGGGGGGTCTCCGAGGTGGCTTGGACTTTGGAGTCCACAGAGCTCGAGGTCCTGGGCGCTGACACCTGGTGGGTTGGGGTCGGGATGTCTCCCACTCCCAGCCTTGGGCTGTTTTTCCTGGGTCTCTCAAGGATCGATAGCGACCGGGTCCCTGGACTGAGAGGACTCACAGGGCAAAGGTAGAGCCCAGATTGCCTGATCCCTCCCCGCAGGGCGCAGCCATGGAGGAAGGCAGAGACCCAGGAGGCCTGGTGAAGGTGGTCCATCTGCTGGTCCTGTCTGGTGCCTGGGGCATGCAAATGTGGGTGACCTTCGCCTCAGGTAGGGACCCTTGGCCTGGCCTTCCAGGGTGGGGACAGAAATGGGAGGGGGACCTGGACAAGTCCTAACAGTTGCACGGTCCCCTGTGTCATAGGCTTCCTGCTTTTCCGAAACCTTCCCCGGCACACCTTCGGCCTAGTGCAAAGCAAACTCTTCCCTTTCTACTTCCACATCTCTATGGCCTGTGCCTTTAGCAACCTCTGCATCGCAGTTTCCCAGTGTGCCTGGGTTCAGCTTACATTCTGGGAGGCCAGCCAGGTATGTGAACTGGAGTGCTACTCTCCTCTGGAGACTTGTTTCCAAGACCCCAGTGAGCACCAGCGGTGGTATCTTTGTGCTGAAAAATGAGTGCCCCTCTTCCTGGTGGAGACAAAGCTGGGGATTGGGTATCCTTGAGCAGTGCACAGCCTGCACAACTGTCCCCAGCAGCCCTGTCTATCTCCTGATATCTCTCCATTGGCTGCTAATCCCTCTCCTTCCCATGGCTGGGCCTGCTGCCAGGCTGTAGTGACTCAGCTATGCTGGAGCTCTGACCCCAGCTCATTGTTTAAAAAACAGCCTGACTGGGAATTTAGGGTTCTCTTCCCTACCCACACATTTTCCCAGCTACAAGGCAAGGAACCATCTCTGTGTCTGGGATTTCTCTACCTTGCTCTCCCTCTGGCCCCTGTATTCCTCAGATGTGGGCAGTGAGGTAAGATAGGTATTTCAGGAATAATCTCTGGCCCTGCGTGGTGGCCCACGCCTGTCATCCCAGCACTTGGAGGCTGAGGCTGGAGGATCGCTGCTGAATTCCCCTCCACCACCCCACAGTGCTGCCTCCTGCTTCTGAGCCTCGTGCTGACTGCCATCAACGCCCGCTGGCTAGAGCCTCGCACCACGGCTGCTATGTGGGCTCTGCAGAGTGTGGAGAAGGAACGGGGTCTGGGTGGGGAGGTGCCAGGCAGCCTCCAGGGCCCCGACCCCTACCGCCAGCTGCGGGACAAGGACCCGAAGTACAGTGCTCTCCGCCAGAACTTCTTCCACTACCATGGCCTCTCCTCAATCTGCAACCTGGGCTGTGTCCTGAGCAATGGTCTCTGCCTCGCCGGCCTGGCCCTGGGCCTCCGAAGCCTCTAGCAAGGGCCCTGCACATCAATAAAGGCTTCCTTGGAAATGGCTGCTGCAGCTGTTTCTCCCTACCTGAGAAGGGGTGGGGTGTGTGTGTGTGTGTGTGTGCGTGTGCGTGTGCAAGGGTAATGCTGAGAGCCTCAATTTCTCCATTCCTGTGGTGTCATGATTAGCGTTAGTGGTTGTAGCCCCTAAGCCTCCTATCATAGAGCCGGGGATGTAGCTCAGTGGCGCCCTGCCTGCCTTGCAAGCGCAAGGTCCTGAGTTTGATCCCCTGTACTGAAAAAATATATATTGCTCATTTATTCAGCACCTTCTTTATGCCAGGCATGGTGTTGACCATTGCAGTACTGTGTATTATTATTTTCTTTTCTATCATTATCATCATTGTTATTGTTGTCATGGATTTTTAGAGACAGGGTCTCTCTATGTAGTTCAGGCTGGCTCATAGTGATCCTCTTGCCTCAGCCTCCCGAGTGCTGAAATTACTGTGAAAAGAGCTCTTAACTAAGCGCCCTTAAGAGTACTGAGCAGGGCCGGGGATTTGGCTCAGTGGTTTTGCCGCCTGCTGTGCAAGTGCAAGGACCCGAGTTCGATCCCCGGTGCCAAAAAAAAAGAAAAAAGAAAAAGAGTATTGAACAAAGGTGTTTAGCCCACTTTTGAGCCTGGCATCGCACAGACTCAGAGCTGCATCCTCACCAACCCTATGAGGGGGACCTGTTGCTTTGGGACAGATGTGGAAACAGTCCCAGAGCGGTTAAGTAACGTCCAAAGTCACAAAACTACAAAGTGATAGATCTAGGATTCAAAACTGGCTCTGGAATCTGAGCCTTTTTTTTTTTTAAATGAGACACAGGCTTGCTGTGGAGTGCACGCTGACCTTGAACTCAAGGCGATTCTCCTGCTTCAGCCTCCCAAAGTGTGTTACAGGTATGCACTACCAATGCCAAGGTAGAATCTATGCTCTTAACTGCTGTACACATACGGTAATAGGAACTCTTGCTGGTGATGCTGCTCCCCTGACCTTGTGGATAGCATTCTTGAGGCCCTGGGTTTCATTCCAAGCACTGCAAAAAAGAAACAAGAAAGAGAGAGAGAGGAGCGAGAAAGGAAGGAAGAAAAAAGAAGAAAGAGAAAGAAAGCAAGCGCCAGGAAGAAGGAGCTGTTGCTGCTTGGGCCGGGCTGCCTCTGGGCGTCCGGACCGCTTCCCGCCCCTCCCGCCCGTTATCGACAAACCCCGCCCTCTATCCCCCGCCCACCGGTGGCCCCGCCCCTCCGCCTGGGCGGAGCCCGCGCGGGATCCGGGTGGCTGCTGGAGACGGGCCGCGGCTGCGGGGCGGGGGTCGTGGCGGAGGCAGTGAGTTCGGAGCCGGATTCCCGCGGGCAGCGCCCTGTCGCCTCGTGACCCCGGGCGGGAGCGCACCTCGCTCGGCGCCTGCGCGTTCCAGCAGGTCCGTCCACCGAGCGTGGGGGCTGGGGAAGGAAGTCGGGGTGCGGGAAGGCGGTCTGAGGAGCAGAGGGGGGCTGCGCGGCGCCCCTTCCTCGCCCGCTCCCAGCTGGGCTCCTCGAGCCGCGGGAGTGGGGCGCGGGCCGGACAGGTGCCCAGATGGGGCCCCACGATGGACCATATGGTGATGGGGGAGGAGGCTGAGCGCCCCTGCACCCCTGGGGGGCCCCAGAGCAGTGAACGGGGACAGATCGCGCCCGCAGGACCCTGGCAGCCTGGCCTGCGTGAGGAGGGTCGGCAGAGGGTCGGACCGGAGGAGGGGGCGCTGCGACCCGAAGAGGTGCTGTGGGGTGGGCGGGGACCCCAGCCTGGTGGCCCTGCCCAGCGGGCGTCACCGCTGCCCCTCCTCAAACTCGTTCTCCCGGAACACGGGTGGGGCCCATTGGGTCCTCGTTTAAAATGGAAAAAAAAAAAAAAAGCCTCAAAGGCGATTGAGAAACGGCTTGGCCTGAGCTTGCTCTGTGTCGGTGCAGGCCGTTCTGTGCTGTCCAGGCAGCGACGGCCAGGGAGACTGAGGCCTGCGGAGGGGATGAGGGTCGAGGGGGCGCCTGGGGCCCTGGGAGGCAGCAGGACCAGGAGTGGGAAACTGTGGTCGCAGTGTGGGCCTGGTGGTGATCAGGTGGCTGCGATCATTTCCTTGGATCCGAGGACTCTGGCTCCTGCCTCCCTGCCCCTTGGACAAACAGAACCCGCAGGTTCCCACTGGCGCGGAGAGCAGGGCTCTAAACTCGGGGCCGTGTCCGCAGAGCCCCCCTGGCCCTGGGGAGGGGGAAAAGGCTAAGCTGGGCTGGGGTGGGGGCAGGGCGGGCACCCGCCAAAGTCAACACTCAGGCCTGAGGGTGCTGCAGCAGCTGCCAGGGTCCCCCTGCGCCAGCTCACACCTGGGCTGCACCAGCTGCTCACCCGGGGGCAAAGTCCATTTGGCCTCCGAAGACTTCCTTGGTGGCCGCTAGAGATGCCTGTCCCCCTCACACACACACCCCGGCCCCGTATTTGAGCCCTTTGCCAGAGCTTTGGGGTTCAAAACAGGAGCCCCCTCCAAGCTGGGCATGATGGTGGCTACTTGTAATCCCAGCACTCAGGAGGCTGAAGCAGGAGGATCGCTGTGAGTTTGAGGCCAGCCTGGGCTCCCTAGTGAGACCCCATCTCAAAAACAAACAAACAAGCAAACAAAAAGCTCAGTTTCACCTTTGCATGAAGATTAAGCAGGAATTGAGTGTCAGCTATATCCCTGGCACTGTTTTATGCCCATTAAGTGAATTAATAACCTCCCACTGGAAGGCATGTGATGCCCCAGGGTGGGTTTTGTCCTGTCTTATTTGCAGCTATGTCACTGCGGTGAGCAAGGCCTGGCACAGAACTGCACTCAGTACATGTTTGTTGAATGACTAAAGAAACTCATTTTAGGCTCCCAATCATGTGGTTTTTCAGGTTGGGATTATGACAAACATCCCGTTTTCCAAAAGAGGGTGTTCAGCCAGGGTTCCTTGGCCTCCAACTGGCAGAGCCGGGATTTGAACCCAGGCCAAGTGGATCCATTGGGGCCCTTAAGAGTATTCGGTTCCCCCTGCAGGGCTTCTGTCTTCCCCAGCTCCCCGAGGTCCCTGGCAAGATGGCATCAGCCGGAGACCCCACTGCGGGCCCTCGGGATGCCGCTGACCAGAATTTCGACTACATGTTCAAGCTCCTGCTGATTGGCAACAGCAGCGTGGGCAAGACATCTTTCCTCTTCCGATACGCTGACGACTCCTTCACCCCCGCCTTTGTCAGCACTGTGGGCATCGACTTCAAGGTCAAGACCGTCTACCGCCACGACAAGAGGATCAAGCTGCAGATCTGGGTGGGCCGGGCATCGGGCCTGGGTCTGGGAGTCGCAAGGGCTGGGGCTTAGGGTGGTGGGCGGGGTCCCTACCCCAGGTGCATTTGGATTGCTAGTGACCCCGGAGGCCATGAAAACAGGTTGGTGCCTTCCCCATCAGACTGGGCTGTGAGCAGGGCACTGTGTCCATCACGGCCCGAGGGAGGGCTTGGATCCTTGTATCAGCAGCAGCATGGCTTCCGGCTGCCTAACAGCTGCTGTTTGGCAGGACACGGCAGGCCAGGAGCGCTACAGGACCATCACCACAGCCTACTACCGCGGAGCCATGGGCTTCCTGCTCATGTATGACATCTCCAACCAGGAGTCCTTTGCCGCCGTGCAGGACTGGTGAGTCTTCCTGACTCCTGAACCCTGACATCTGACCTTTGCCCTCTCCCCCTGACCCACTACTGCCCTTGCTCATGACCCACAACTGCACAGGGCCACACAGATCAAGACCTACTCCTGGGACAATGCTCAGGTCATCCTGGTGGGAAACAAATGTGACCTGGAGGACGAGCGGGTTGTGCCTACGGAGGACGGCTGGAGACTCGCCAATGACCTTGGTTAGTTCGAAACCTGGGCTGCAGGACATGGGTTTCTCACAATCAAATCTTATTCCTATCCTCAAGTTCCAGGTCCAACAACCATTATCAATCCTTTGAGGATCTGTCCAGAAATATATCCACGGGTGTGCCACCTTCTCTATTTCAGAAGTTTTTGGGGTTTTTTTTGGTTATTTGAGATGGGGGTCTCACTCTGTAGTTAGTTCAGTCTGGCCTCGAACTCAGCAATCCTCCTGCCTCAGCCTCCCAAATTTCTGTGCGTAAGTGAAGTTTCCCTGGGACACAGCCACACACAAACCCATTTATGTACTGTTTGTGGCAATGTCTGTGCTGCATTAGCAGGGCCTTGTAGTTAAAACAGACTATGTGTGCTGGGGATTTAGCTCAGTGGTTCCACCGCCTGCCTCGAAAGCCCAAAGTCCTGAGTTCAATCCCCAGTACCAAAAAAAAAAAGGTTTCATCCAAAAAATAAAAATTAAAAATAGGGCCAGGGATTTAGCTCAGTGGTTCCGCCGCCTGCCTCACAAGCACAAGGACCCCAGTTTGATCCCTGGTACCAATAAATAAATAAATAAATAAATAAATAAATAAATAAATAAGACTGTATGGGCCACAGAGCCTAAAGTCTTCATTATTTGGCCGTTTGCAGGGAAAATTTGCTGATCTTTCAGCTGAAATCTACAATCATCCTCTTTCCCTTTTCTTTTTCTTTTGTTTTCTTTCTTTCTTTCTTTCTTTCTTTCTTTCTTTTTTTTGAGATGGGGTCTTGCTATGTTGCCGAGGCAGGACTTCAATACACAGGCTCTAGCAATTCTCCTGCCTCAGCCTCCTGAGTAGCTGGAACTACAGGCTGGTGCCACCGTACCTGGCTACAAACTGCTACCTGGACACTTGTAGCCACCGAGTTGTGACAGAGATTCTTGAGATTCTCCAGACCAGGGCTGCCGCTGCAGATCTTTATCAGCATCAGTCACACCAACACCACTGTTCCCATTTTACAGATGAGCAGACTGAAGTTCAGAGAGGCTAAGACACTCAGCCCAGGTTGCACAGCAGTATAAAGGGCAGACTGGGGAACCCAAATGTGAGGGATGCCACGGCCTGGACCCTGGCCCAGGGGTCTCACACGTATTCCTACCTTGTCTCCCTCCAGGGTTCGAGTTCTTTGAGGCCAGTGCCAAGGAGAACATCAACGTGAAGCAGGTGTTTGAGCGCCTGGTGGATGTCATCTGCGAGAAGATGAACGAATCCTTGGAAGCCAGCTCCAGCCCAGGCAGCAATGGGAAAGGCCCAGCCCTAGGGGACCCTGTGCCACCCCAGCCCAGCAGCTGTGGCTGTTAGGGGCAGCCTTGGCCCCCACCTGCCTCATCTGCCGCCTCAGGGACTGTGACCCAGGCATGAGCCACAAGAGCTGTTCCCAAGCTCAGGGCCCCTTCTTCTCTCCCATCTACTACTCCCCAGCCTGGAATGGCTGACTTCCTGTGTCACCACCATGCTTAACCCCAGGGGCTCGGCTCAGCATTGCAGGCAGCAGCCTGGGGACATTGTCATACACAAGCTTGCTGCTTTCCAAGGCCTTTTAGTGGGGTGGCTGCTGGAGCATGTCCCACCATGCCTGGGAAAGAGGCCTCTATAGTGCCTTCTAGGATAGAAACACTTTCTGGGGACATTCTGTGCTGGGCATTGCCTGGTGTGTAGGAGTCTGCGGAAAGTGTCATGATGCAGGTTCTCTCTGAAGAGGCAGAGGCAGCCTCTCTTTCTCAGGACCCCCAGCTTAGCCTTGCGCCTTCCATGTGACCCCCCAAATGCCAAGGCTTTAGCATGAGATCACGATTCAAGGCCCCACAGACCCCTCCCTCTGGCTGGCAGATTGAATACTAAAGCCCATTTTCCTGTTATAGAAGGGATGGGGACCTGGGTGTAGTGGTGCACACCTGTCATTCCAGCACTCAGGAGACTGAGGCAGGAGGATTGCTGAGAGTTCCAGGGCAGCCTGGGCGACATAGCAAGACATTGTCTCCAAAAGAAGGGACAGGAAGTTCAGCTGCCCCTGGCACAGAAACTCCAAAAGTGCCTTCCATGCTTCAAGCCGTCCACATCACTCCTGACCCCTCATGCTTGGGTTGATCCTGGATTGAATACTGGACTTTGGGGTATTTCGGGGAGGCCGGGAATCAGCTGCACCTTAGTGTTTCCTTTTTGCCTGGCGTTAACCTCAGAGCCGGAGCCCAGACCCTCCCGCCCAGGCACCATCTGGCTGGTTGTATTTTAAGCAACATCTTTCCAAATCTCACATCCTGCTCGAAAAGGAACTTGAGCAATATTCCCACCGCCCATGCTTGCCTAGGACTTTCTTCCTTTTTTCCTTCCTTCCTTCCTTCCTCCTCTGTGTGGTCCTGGGGATGGAGCCCATCGCCTCATCCAGGCTAAGCCGGTCCTCTACCTCTGAGCTCCATTCCCTGCTCCTTTTTAATTTTGACAGGAGGTGTTGTTAAGTTGTTAGGCTGGCCTCAAACTTGTGATCCTCCCACCTCAGCCTCCCTGGTAGCTGGGAATCTGGGTGAACACTGCCACTCCAGGGCTGCCTGTGACTTTCTGATGTCAGGACTCAGGCTTCTTCAGCTGGAGGATCCGGTGTCCGTTTCCGGAGCTGTGGCATCCTTGGGTCCAGGGCTGTGACATTCATGCTGACGGAGAAGTCCCCTCTGAGGGCCTCTGCGGGGGTCAGGCGGGGCGGTGAGAGGGCGGGTTATGCAGCTTGCTTTTGTCACCTGCATTCTGTGGATGCAGCCGAGGAGAGGCAGGTCCTCGTGCTAATGCGGGATGGGCTGTGAGCAGTGTCAGGGAGTCCTGGGACCCTGGTCCAGAGCACACCCAAGCCCACTTCTGGTGGCATGGCACCTGCTTCTGGCCCTCAACACCAACCAGAACCCCATAACAGGACCGCACTGTGCCGACGGTCTGAGGAGATGGCTTGTGTCCCCAGCTCCCCCGACTCCATCCCCCAAGTTCCTGTTGCCAAAGTGACTTCCTGTAGCCTTTGTGCCTCTCTCCCCCAGGGGTATCTGAGTGCTAAAGGCTCGTTTAAGTTCACATTTATTTCTAGGGAGCTCCGTGTACCCCACACCAGGAGCTGCCCGTAGAACTTTACAGCGAGGAGATTTTTGCACACCCAGAAATTGAATGATTACCCGGCATGGTGCCACACACCTGTAATTCCCAGCACTTGGGAGGCTGAGGCAGGAAGATTGCCCTGAGTTCAAGTTCAGCCTGGGCTACACTTGCAGACCCTGTCTCTAAAAAAAAAAAAAAAGTCTTCTAGAGTTCAGCTTCAAGTAGCAGCAGAGAGATCTGCTTTGAGGTTCGCTCAAGAGTGGAAATAATATAGGAAAAATTGTGTTTGTTTCTTCTTTTTTTCTTTGTACCAGGGATTGAACTCAGGACCTTGCGCTTGCGAGGCAGGGGGCCGAACCACTGAGCTAAATCCCCGGCCCATGTTTGTTTCTTCTAAAAATAAATCAGGTTTCCCATGGTGTGATTAGAGAGGGAGGCTCCCCTCATGATGGTCACTAGGGAACTAAAACGGGGGGCCTCGGAGGTCGCTGAGGGGGAGGGAGGGTTAAGTTCATAGATGGAAATCACCAGGCCCTGGAAAAGCTCCCGCGGAAGAGCGCGCACCTGTGCCTTAGCGCCCGGCCCCTCCCCCCCAGGACCATTTCTTCCTCTGCTTAGAAAAGCAAGTAAAGGATAAAATCCAGTCCTGGTCTTGCAATGACGATTCTGCTCCGTAGCGGCCCCTAGCGATTCTGAGACACACTACTCTGACCACAGCGGGCCGTGTACACCCTCCGTGAGGTGCTACATACGCAATTCCTTGATATCCATAGGGAAAAACGTGCATTTTCTCCACATAAGAAAAAATAAAGAAGTTATGCCAAAGTGCAGTTGTTCTTTTATTTCCTGTAGTGAATGGCAGCTTCCAGGAAAGGGGCTGTTCCGAATGCCCAGCAACCAACGAGTGGATAAAGATGTGGTTTTTATACAATGGAGTACTACTCTGCCATAAAGAAGGATGAGCTTGAGACATTTCTAGCTCAATGGATGGACCTGGAGACCATACTCTTAAGTGAAATCGATCACACATGTTTAAATACCGCACTGTTTCTCTGGTGTCGGAAACTGAAAGTGGAAATAAGGACTAAAATGTATAATAGATACTGGGAAATGGGAAGAAAGTGTTCAAATGTGAAGGGGAGTAAGGGAGGAGGGAGGGAGAAAGGAAAGAAGGGACAAGAAAAAAGAACAGAAGGAAAAATGGAAACAAAGCTTTTGTATATAAGGAGGGGAAGAGGGATTGAAGGAAGAGAGGAGAACGGGAAAAGAAGCAGCAGCAAGAGATATCATGTACAGGTGCAAATTCCCTATGATGAAAGTGATCATTATGTAATTCTAAAATACCATTGTATGTTTTGCTTCAAAAAGAAAGGGGGTGTTGTTCACAGGGCGGTAGAAGGTCTGCTGCGGCCCCTCAGGAAGCCCGAGGCTGACCCTAGCTGTACTGGCCCTCACCATGGCTCTGCATAGCTACCATCTCACCTCAGAAGGCTGAGACAGGAGGATCAAGAGCTTGAGGCAGCCCCGGGCAACTTCAAGAGACAGTCTCAAAATAAAACCTTGAAAGGGCTTGGGGTGCAGTGCAGTAGCAGAGCACTTGCTTGGCCTACTCGAGTCCATGGGTTTTTTTGTTTTGTTTTGTTTTTGGTACCGGGGATCAAACTCTGGACCTTGTGCTTGCGAAGCAGGTGGTAGAACAATTGAGCTAAATCCCTGGCCCCCTAGTCCTTTTTTAATTTTTATTTGGAGACAGGATCTCGCTAAGTTGCCCAGGTTGGTCTTGAACTTGCAGTCCCACTGCCTCAGCCTCCTGAGTAGCTGCAATAATAGCTACTCCTGGCCAGTCTGGAATACATAGTGAGAGGCTCAAAAATTTTTTTTAAATAAATATTTGGCTTTTGTCCCCAGTGGTTCCTGGCACACAGCTCCTAAAGCCCTGACATCTTTTGCATGTCACTGAGATGATGACTGTGAATAGGGGGCCCTGGAGAGCTTAGGAGGGAGCTGGTCACCAGGAAGACTTTAGGGCCAGCCATCCCCCCTCCCATCCCCACCTCCCCTGCCACCTCTTGGGGGACAGAGGGACAGCACAGTAAGCCAATCAGTGAATCAATGGTTTCCTTGTGATGAGACCTCCATAAAACCCTTAAGTGATGACAGCCATGGTGGCGCACACCTGTCATCCCAGCACTCTGGGAGGCTAAGGCAGGAGGGTCACAAGTTCACGTCCAGCCTGGGCAATTTGGTGACTTAGAGAGACATTGTCTCAAAATAAAAGTTTAGATTCCATCTCACTCCTGAAAGAAAGGCTGTTAACAAAAAGTCAACCAACAACAAATGCTGGAGAGGCTGTGGGGGAAAAGGAACCCTTCTCTATGGTTGGGAGTGTAGACTGGTGTGACCAGTGTGGAAATCAGCGTGGAGATTCCTCAAAAAGTTAAATTAGGGCCAGAGATTTAGCTCAGTGGTTCCACTGCCTGCCTCCCAAGCGGAAGGACCTGAGTTCAATCCCTGATACCAAAAAAAAAAAGCTAAATTTAGAGGTTCCATTTGACCCAGCTATTCCCCTACTGGGTATCTTCCCCAAAGAATTAAAAGAATCATACCACAGTGATATATGTCCACCCATGTTTTCTTTTTCTTTTTTCTTTTTTTTTGGTACTGGGGATCAAACTCGGGTCCTTAAGCTTGCGAGGCAGGCGGTGGAGCTAAGTCCCCAGCCCATCTGCACCCATGTTTATAGCGGCACAGTTTGTAATACCTAAAGCTTGGAAACAGCCCAAACGTCCAACAATTGATGAATAGATAAAGAAGCTGTGGTTTTTTATATAGCAGAGTACTAGTCTGCCGTAAAGAAGGATGAGCTTGAGACATTTCTAGCTTAATGGATGCACCTTGAGAGCATACTTTTTCTTTTTTTTTTTTTTGTACCAGGGATCAAACTCAGGACCTTGCACTTTCCAGGCAAGTGCGGCACCACTGAGCTAAATCCCCAGCCATACTCTTAAGCGAAATAAATCTATCACACGTGGTTAAATCCTGCATTGTTTCTCTGGCGTGAGAAACTGGGTGGGAAATAAGGACCAAAATGTATAACAGACATCGGAATGTTCAAATGAGAAGGGAAACAAGGGAGGGACGAGGGAAAAAAGAATAGAAGGGGGAAATGGAAACAAAGCGTTTGTATACAAGGAGGGGAAGAGGGGTCACGGGGGATGGGGGGGAAAGAAGCCAGATATGTCATGTACAGGCACAAATTCCCTATGATGATTATGATCCTGTGTATATCTAAAATGTACCAGTAAATGTTTTGCTTAAAAATGAATAAAATAAAGGGCTGAGACTGGAACTCAGTGTCAAGGCTCTGAGTTCAAACTCCAAGACTGTCAAACAAGCAAACCAAAACAACCCTAAGGGATGGGACTCCGGAGTGCTTGTGCGTTCGTGAGCTCACGAAGATGCTGGGAGAACGGTGGCCAGGAAAGGACACATGACGCACGGTCCCCTGATTTGCCTCAGGCTTTCTTCCCTATGTGCTGTCCCTGAGTCATGTCCTTTATCACAAACCAGGTGTGGTGAGGAAACCGCTTTCTCACTGCAGAAACCCTGAGTCATGCTACCATGGTACCTCGCTTCACAGAAACAGAAGACCTTGTGAACCCCACTTTATAACCAGAGTGGACAGAAATGTGGATGACTAGGATGGCGTGCATCCCCAAGAACTTAATTCCCCAATCCTTTGTTAATGGTATTTGAAGTTGGGGCCTTTGGGGGGCCTCCAGCAGGATTGGATGAGGTCATAAGGGAGGGGCCCTGTAGCTTTCTTTCTTTCTTTCTTTCTTTCTTTCTTTATTTATTTGGTATGGGGGATCGAACTCCGTCCTTGCGCTTGCGCAGCAGACGGTGAAACCACTGAGCTAAATCGCCAGCCTATTTATTTATCTTTGAGACAGGGTCTCCCTTTGTACCCCAGGCTAGCCCTGAGCCTTAGGTGATTCTCCTGTCTCAGCCTCCTGAGTGCTGGGATTACAGGGGTGCATCACCATGCCCGGCTCATTTTGCCATTTTTTTTTTCCAACCCACAGCAGCCAGGAAACAGAGAGAGAAGGGCACAAGAATGTACCCTTCTGGGTTACACCACGGTAACCACTGCTAAGCAGGCGTTACCTCCTGACAGCATAGCGAGCCATGAACGCATCAATGCAGGAATCCGCTGATAAGTACAGCGCCCCATGATCCAATCACCTGCCACACACAGGAGACCTGGGGGAACATTCAGATTCTCCTAATGATGCTTTAGGATAAGCAGCTACTGTAGGGATTTTGAGGTGATGAATCCCCAGTCAGAGGGAAAGGCAGAGCCAAGCATGGTGGTACACACCTGTAATCAAGGCACTCAACAGGCTGAGGCAGGAGGATCACCAGGAGTTTGAGGCCAGCCTGGACTAGTGAGTTCAAGGCCAGCCTCAACTATATAGAGAGACCTTGGCTCAAAAAAAATTTTTTTTCAGCCAATCAGGAAATTTTTGTTGATAATATAGGTATTAAGTGATGCCAACAAGTGGCTGTTAATTATCAGGTTAATTATAGGTGTGATAATGACATTATAGTTGTGAACACAAGTTACTGCAATTTTAGAGATGTGTATTGATGTATGAAGGGGAAACAATACTTTGCAGGATTTGTTTCAATATAGTTCATCAAATGCCTCACCACAAAAAATAGTTTGGAGGGCCAGAGATTTAGCTCAGTGGTTCCACTACTTGCCTTGCAAGCCCAAGGTCCTGAGTGCGATCCCCAGTACCAAACAAAAACAAAAACAAAAAATTAGATAAAAAATACTTTGGAAGGGAGGTGATACGTCTGTTAATTAGCTTGATTTAATCATTTCACACTTCTCATATCAGAACATCACACCACTGTCCTTCATGTGCGGTTTTATCACAAAACACCATGAATATTTCAATTTAAAAATTTTATTATAATAAAAGACATATTGCCATTAATCTTCCTCAAAGTCCTTCCGCTTGCTATCAACACACTTACCCCATCATTCCTGCTCCTTTCTGAAGCAGTTCTGGAAGTCCTCTCTTTTCACCAGCCATGGTGGCACCTGCCTGTAATCCCAGCATTCGGGAGGCTGAGGCAGGAGAATTGCCACAAATTTGAGGCCTGCCTGGGCTACATAGTGAGTTCAAGTCCAGCCTGAACTATATAGCAAGAGTCTGTCTCAAAAAAAAAAAAAAGTCTTTTCATGGTTACCTCAATTACTAGAATTAATTCAAAATATTTATAATAATTTCTGTCAAAATATTACCCTGTCCCCATTCACCTTACAGATCTGGCACCAGGAGACTTCTGACTCTTCCTCAAAGTCAAAATGACCGTGAAAGACAAATGTTTTGAATCAATTCAGGCCATGAAGGCAGCCATGACAGAGCAACTAAAGACACTCACAAAAGAGCACTTCCAGAGCTGCTTCAGAAAGTGGTAAGAATGATGGGATATGTGTTTGAAGTGAGGAGGAGGATTAAAGGAAACGTGTCTCTTACTGTAATAACTTAAAAAAAAAATTTAACCAGGTCTGGTGGCACATGCCTATAATCCCAGCATTCAGGAGGCTGAGGCAGGAAGTTGCAGTGAGTTCAGGGCCAGCTTGGGTTACATAGTGAGTTCAAGGCGAGCCTAGGCTACATAGGGAGGGCCTGTCTCAACCCCCCCCAAATATATATAAATCACTCATTGGATTTTTATTTCATCGTATAGATATGTACACTTATGATTTGTTGATTAAAAACAATAATAAAAGAAAAATTTTATCCATGGAAAAACAGAATAGCTACAACAGCTATGGAAAAATGATGGTATTGTTGATTCTGGGTGATTTGTCTTTGAGGGGTTCTTTGGATAGAGTCTCTTGGCTTCTGTGAATAGTCTAGATTTTCCTAAAAAGTCATTTACAAAATAGGAAAGTTGGCAGAGGAGAGGCCATCTGCTATAGTTTGGATGTGGTTTGTACCCAAAAGTTCCTGAGTGGGGACCTCAGTCACCAAACGCAGTGTTGAGCAGTAGTGGAACCTTTAAAAGATGGGACCAAGTGGGAGGTGCCAGTGCTGGCCCCACCCCTACCGGGACATCTGGTCCTCTGTCCCTCCTGCACTCAGCTCCTGCCATTGAGGTGCCATAGGTCATGAGGTGTCAGGAGCTATGCTGTTTGACTTTCATGCTCCCAAACTGAGCTAAATAAACCTTTTCTTCACATGTACCCAGACTCCGGCTTTTCATTATAGTAACAAATAAAGGGTTTAAACATCATTGCTTTAGGTATTTGAGCTACAACCATTGCCAACTGGTGTCAGAAATAAAATCAAGGAGAAAGGAGTCAGGGTGGACAGGTGCTTCTTGATTTATTATTATTATTATTATTATTATTATTATTGATCCTCCTTCCAGAAACTCTTAAGTGCCACAGAGAAATAAAAGTAAGATCCAATCTCTAGCAGCCAGATGGGCTCCAGTGTTTCATCCTTCCCAAGCCTTCGAGTCAGCCCAGCTTAATGTACAGCAGCAAGGTGGCAAGAACACCTGGCAACTGAAATGGGAGAGAAAGAAAACTTACCCATTGTTAGAGATAGTCGATGTCGAATCAAACTTTTCTGCATTCCCATGAGCCCTGAGAACATTTCCCGGCATCCTATGCCCTCCTATTTCCTGATATGTTTGGCCAATAGGAAGCCCATGCCCTCTAACTGCCTCTTAATTTGGGCCAATAGGAAGCCTAGGCCTTCTGACTTCCTGTAAGGTTTGACCAATAGGAATCACCAACTGGAGAAATGGGCAGACCAAAAGGAGAGGTTGGATAATTCTTCACACTCCCTCCCTTGTGCCCCTCCTGAGCTCTCCATACCCACAGTTGTAGGCAGATGGCACTTCTTTCTTGTTGATCATCTGCTTAGTTGTTCTATTATTGACAGTGCGGTATTAAACTCTCTGACAATTATCATTGAATTGTCTATCCTCCCTACGATTCCATCAGTTTTTCCTAATTTATTTTGTAATTTTTCCTCCTTTATTTTGGAGTTTTATTTTTAAATGCATATATGCTTACATTTCTTTACATTTCAAATTGTGTTTTGTGTTTTTGTTGTTGTTTGTTCGTTTGTTTGAGGCAAGGTCTTGCTATGTACACCAGGCAATCCTCAAACTCACTATGTAGCCCAACCCGGCATCAAACTCCAAGCAGTCCTCCTGCCTCAGTCTCTCAACTGCTGGGATTACAGATGTGTGGCACCACACTTGGCTTGTTTACATTTTACATTTATAGGTATACACTATATGTTTGTAATTGTTTTGACTTCCTGATGGATTGATGTGTTTATCATGATAAAATGTTCCTCTCTGGTTACAATTTTTGATCTGCTATTAATTTAGGGACTACTGCTTTCTGTTGGCTACTGTTGGCATGGTATACCTTTCCCCATTCTTTTAAGTTTCAGATTCATTTGTTTCTTTCAATCTAATGTGTACTTCTTGTAGATTGAACATTGTTCAGTCATGTTTTTCAATCCATCCTTCTGATCTCTGTCTTTTTTGGGGGGAGGGTGGTAACCAGGGATTGAAATCAGGACCTTGCACTTGTGAGGCAGGCAGCAGCACCACTGAGCTAAATCCCTGGCCCCTGATCTCTGTCTTTTGACCAGTGTTTGATTCCTTTACATCTGATAGAATTGGATATGGATCTGCCATTTTGCTATTTGTGTTTATGTTGCTGATCCTGTTCTTTCCTCATGGAGTTCTTTTATATTTTATATTTTCTTGTATACCATTTTATTTTCCTTATTTTACTATATTTTAAGAATTACTTAGCCAGACATGGTGGTGTAAATCTGTAATCCCCGCACTCAGGAGGCTGAGGCAGGAGATGGGAGGATTGCTCCAGGTTCAAGGCCATCCTGGAGTACATAGTGAATCCCTGTCTCAAAAAACAAAACAAAACAGGGCTGGGGATTTAGCTCAGTGCTTCTGCCACCTGCCCCGCAAGCACAAGGACTGCAGAGTTCAACCCCCGGTACCAAAAATAAAAAAAAGAAAAAAACAAACCCCAAAAAACAAGAATTACTTTTCAGTGGTAGCTTTAGGGATTACAATTCATATCTTAAAATTTAGCAATCTACTCTTTTCGTTTGTTTTTTTGTCTTTTTTTGTTTTGTTTTGGAAACAGTGGCTTGCTAAATCACTAAGCTGCCCAGGCTAGGCTCAAATTTGCAATCCTCCTGCCTCAGCCTTCCAGAATTCAGGATTACAGGCGTGAGCCACCATGCACAGCTCCAAATTAATTTTAATCACATACAAACACTGTGTACCTACATAGCCTTATTCTCTCCACTCTCTTTTGTGCCATTATGGTCATACAAATTCATACCATTTCTTTTTTGTTTTGTTTTGTTTTGTCTTTTTCTTTTCTGTCTTTTGAGACAAGGTCTCACTATGCAATTCAGGCTGGCCTTGAACCCATTATGGAGTCCAGGCTGACCTTTAACGCCCTGGCTCAAGCAGTCTTCCTGCCTCAGCCTTCCCAGTATCTGGGATTACAGGTATGTGCCACCATACCCGGCTGAATATCGGACATTTTACATACTACACTGTCCAATTCTGGAAATCAAATTTCCCTTTCCCTTCAGTTCTTTTATGTTTCTATTTTGTGTTGTTGTTTCCGCCATTGTCTGTTCATTTAATGAGAACTGGGGATTAATTCTCTCAAGTCTGTGTTCTTCTTTGTGTGTGGCCACTGAATTCGTCACTTGGTTACCTGAATGGTTGAAATGAGGAATCTTCTTTTTCAAAAAGGAGGCCTGTGTGGTTTGGTTTTGTTCTGTTTTTTGAATTTTTTGTAGTACCAAGGATTGATCAAACTCAGGACCTTGCGCTTTCGAGGCAGGTGCTGTGCCACTGAACTAAAACCCCGGCCGATGTGTTTTTACTTTTTAAAGTTGGGTGAGCTGGGTGTAGTGGCACATTGCTACAATACCAGCATCAGGAGGCAGAGGCAGGAAGATCGTTGCAATTTCCAGACCAGCCTGGGCTACATAGTGGGACCTTGTCTCAAAATAATACTAATACTAATACTGGTACTCATACTAAAGTTGCATAATATTCTGCCCATATTTATGCTTCATCCCTTCTGCTCATGGGATAGCTTATTTTATTCTATTTTTGCATGTCGGAATAGTATAAAAAATTAAGACTGGATGAACTGAAAAAGACTTCCTTTTATTATGCTAGTTCTTTCTTCCCTGGGGATTCCTGGACAAGACTCTGGATATGGCTTTTTTTGTTTTTGTTTTGTTTGGTACTGGGGAAGGAACTCAGGACCTTGAGCTTGTGAGGCAGGTGGTGGAACCTCTGAGCTAAATCCCCAGCCCCTTGCTATGCCTTTTCCCCCCTTCTCCATACTGGAGATGGAACCCAGGGCCTTCACACTGAGTTACACCCCAGCCCTTTACTTATTTTTTATTATTTATTTATTTATGTATTTATTTATTTTGGAACAGGCTCTCTCCCAGTCGCTAAGTTGCCCAGACTGGGCTCCAACTTGAGATCCTCCTGCCTCAGCCTCCCCGAATGCCACGATCTCAGGCATGGGTCATCACACCCAGCTCCACAAGTTTGCCAAGAAAGAGTGGCCAGAGGGGCGACTCACCTGCATCAATGCCATCCCCAAGGAGACCCAGTTCAGGGTGTAGCTCTGTGTCTTGGTGATTTTCAGGAGCCTGTGGAAGCAGCCCTGGGGGTGCAGACAGCAAGGCAGGCAGGGGCTGCTCAGCGGTGCCCCTGATCTCCCCCACCCCTCGGGGACCTCCACTCCCACCAGAGCACACTGTTCAGCACCTTGTTCCACCGCACTGAGCTCCCCTGTTTAAGCGACCTGTGTGACCCTGGAAAAGCCATCCCACCTCTCTGGACCTCTGCTGGCCTGGCTAGAAATGGGATCAATGAGCCTGGCATGGTGGCACACACCTGTCAGCCCAGAAGGGTGCTGGCCCATATTACAAATATGATCACAGTTGGATTTCTTACTTTAATTTTTTTTTAATTTTTTGTTTGTTTTGAGCCAGGTTCTCACTATGTAGCCCAGGCTGCCCTTGAACTTGCAGTGATCCTCCTGCCTCAGCCTCCTGAGTGCCAAGCAGCTGTGGACTGAAACCTCTGACATGGTGAACCAAAATAAACCTTTCCTCTTTTTAAGTTGGTGACCTCAGATATTTGTCACAGTAGTGGAAAGCTGACTCACATTCTCCAGAGGATAAGTTATCAAAGGAGCTGAACTAGCATTGATTTCTCTCTTCCCCAGGACCCTTTGCTGGGGTCCCCAAAATGAGCAATATTTTAGAAAAGTCACCAACACTTAGGGTCTGTTGAGGTTGCGCATGGCAAAATCTCCAGTTACCGCCTGGTGAATGACACTGGATGACACGTTGTGCCCATCGCAGGCCATAGCACCCAGGGATTTACAGCAGCCCCTGGGGTAGGAGTGGCCTGTCACCATCGAGAAGGAAGAGCTGGGAAAATCTGTGTAGTTGTTCACCCCAGAGCACTTTAGCTGCAGAGAGAGCAAACATGGAGAGCGGGTTTTTTAAAAAAAAAAAAAAAGAAGAAGAAGAAAAATAGAAATAGCTTCATACAAATGAGAATAGAAATTATGGTCACCATGGCTACTGTCTCAGCAGAGACAATATTCCAGTCTGCCTTCAAACTCCACCCTAAAGCCAGGCATGGTGGTGCATGCCCGTAATCCTAGCACTCAGGAGGCTGAGGCAGGAGGATCACCATGAGTTCTAGGCTAGCCTGGGCTACATAGTGAGTTCAAGGTCAACCTGATCCATATCAAGAGACCCTGTCTCAAAACAAAAAACAAACAAACAAAATAAAACAAAAAACCACCATCCTATGGCCGGGCCTGGTGACACACACCTGTCATCTCAGCACTGGAGAGGCTGAGGCAGGAGGATTGCTGTGAATTTGAGGCCAGCTTGGGCTACTTAACGAGACCTTGTCTCAAAAAACAACAAAAACACCAACCTTCCACAGCTCCCAAACTACTTAACACAAAAGCTGAGCTCCTGCTGTGACCCATAAGTCCCTGCACATTCTACCTGTCACCTACCTCCTGCCCTGGCCTCCCATGACACTCTTCTGTGTTCTCTCAGCTCCATCCATGCCAATTTCTTCATTATTCTGCCGAGACATTTAGCAAGTGTGAGCCTCAGGACCTTTGTACAACCTGCTCCTGCCTTTGGAAATGCTCTTCCTTCAACGTCTGCCTGACCCACTCTCTCACCTCACTCGAGTCTCTGCTCCAAGATCCCTCTTCAGAAAGGCCTGTTCTGACCCCATTCTTAAAATTACCCACAAGCCCTGGAATCAGCCAGGCTGACCACAGTCATTTCTTTTCCTTTTTATTTTTGTTTGTTTTGCAGAACTGAAGATGGAACCCAGGGTCTTCACACTGTGCTACAGCCCCAGCCCTTTATTTATTTACTCATTCATTCATTTAGAGATGGTGTTGCTAAATTGTCCAGGGTAGGTGTGAACTTGTGATCCTCCTCCCACAGCCTCCCAGGGTGCTGGGATGACAGGTGTGCATCCCCACACCTCCCTCCTCCTGTATTTAAATCATCTCTAGATTCTTTAAATTACCTCTTTTTACTGTACTCACTTTATTTCACTTCACAGATAGTGCCTTTTTCTCCCTTCAAATCGAATGTTTATAGCATCCTAACACTGACCAGGCCTATGGGCTCCATTTTTTTCAAAGCTCAGCTGAATGTTTACATTTTTCAGCATTGAAGTTTTTTCCCTGGTGCTGAGGGTCAAACCCAGGTGTGCTCTGCCACTGAGTTCATCCCCAGCCCTTTTTATTTATTTATTTATTTATTTATTTATTTATTTTTTGGTACCGGGGTTCGAACTCGGGTCCTTGCGCTTGCGCAGCAGGCGGCGAAACCACTGAGCCAAATCCCTGGCCCAGCCGCCCAATATATTTTTTGTGGAGTTGGAGATGGATCCCAGGGCCTTGCAAAGACGCTTACACACACATGTGCACAGCATTATACACAACACCCAAGAGGCAGAAGTATCGAAGATGTCCTCGACGGCTAAACAGATAAACAAATGGATGTGTCCTGACGGTGGACTGGGATTCAGCCTCAAAAAGGAAGCTAATTCTGACCCCAGTTGTCACAGGGGAAGCAGAAGTATCTCAAGCCCGCGCTGCTCCGTGAGATGGGCCTTCACCAGGGACCAGCCCTGCAGGTTCTGCAACTCACAGGGCCCTGGGATCCTGGGGCCAGGCCACACAGACAGGAAGGAGGGGGTGGGGCTGGGGCGTGGCGAAGACATGGGGTGATGTTTAGGGGAACGGAAAAGCTCTGGAAAGTCAGGCGTGAAGGCACACACCTATGATCCCAGCGCTAGGGAGGCTGAGGCAGGAATATCGCCACGAATTCAAGACCAGCCTGGGCTACATAGCCAGACGCTGTCTCAAAAAAAAAAGAAAAGAAAAGTTCTGGAGATGGATGATGGTGACGTCCAGTGTTTAATGTCACAGAGTTGTACGATCAAAAATAGTTAAAACGGTAAATTTCGCGTTACGTGTGTGTGTGTGTGTGTGTGTGTGTATATATATATATATATTTTTTTTTTTTTAAGTAGAAAGATATTTATTGATAGGAAAGCTCCTGAAGGCCAGGAGGGGTCCCAAGTGAGTAGCCCCACGTTATGTATATTTTACTTTTATTTATTTACTTTTCTTATTTTAGCACAACTTTTTACAAAGCAGAGCTCACCTTCTCCATGACTGAGTTCCACTGTGCAGAGAAATCATCCAGCTCAGCTCGTTGTGTAGCCTCTGTAGCCCCTCCTCAGGGTGACGATGTTGTGCTCCAGCCCCATATTGCGAACCTTCCAGAGGAGACGGGAAGCCAGCAGCACCCAAATAGCCATGGAGACCCATGGGTGGAGGATTCTTGGGGGAGACAGAGGGAAGGAGGGCTTTCCTGTCACATTCTAAATTTTTCCTACCTCCATCTCATGGGTCTGTGTTAGAAAGGGACGCATTCACCAGGCGTGGTGAGTCCAGCCTGGGTAACCTAGTGACTTAGGCTATCTCAAAGTAAAAAAGGTCTGGGGGTGTAGCTCAGGGTGAAGGTGCTGGGTTCAATCCTCAGGGCTGTAAAAGAAAGGGGCTGGGCCACATTCAGGGTGCCGTGTCGCCTGCTAGGAGGGGCACGGGGAGGAGCATGGTCTGCCAGCCAGGCGCCCGGCTGTTCCCATCACTAGCAAACTTGAACCACCTGCTCTTTCCGGTTCCCACAGCCTCCCACCCACGGTTTGGCTGCAACCCGATTAAAGAATCAGATTCTCTCTCCCAGCAACTGAATTTCTCTATGTACACAAGGGGCCCATTTAATTTGTTTTGTTTTGGTTTGGTTTTTTGAGACAGGCTCTGCCTAGGCTGGCCTTGAACTCGTGGGTATCCTCCTGCCTCAGCCTCCCAGGTGCTAGGGTGAAAGGTGCACACCACCACGCCCAGCTTCTAATATTTTATTGTTTTGTTTTTTTGTTTATTTGGGTACTGAGGATCAAACTCAGGACTTTGCCCAGTGGCAGAACCACTAAGCTAAATCTCCAGCCCAAATATTTTAATTTAAAAAAAATATATATATATATTTTTTTATTTTGGATTGAACTTGGGACCTTGCACTTGCAAACCAGGCAGCGGAACCACTGAGCTAAATCCCCGGCCCAAAAATATTTTATTTTTTAAAGAAAAGTTTTATTTTTTTTCCAGTAGAGGGGATCCACCTCAGGTCCTTGTACTTACCAGGTAGGCACAGTGTCACTGAGCTACATCCCACCCCTAAAGAAAGGTTTTAAACAATGTTTTTTTTCCTGCTGAGGTGCTGCTGTCCCGTCTTCAAAATCCACAGAATCTAGCAGGGTAGACCATGAAAATCTCTCCCTCCCACCTCTCTCTCCCAGCCGAAAACCTCCTCCCACTTCACGCTGATGACTATTTCTGTTTCCTGTGTCCCCAAAGAGAGACTGGATATGTGTCAAAGCCAAGGATATTTTCGTTCTTTTCTTGCATTGTTCTGCATCTGGCTCTTCTGACAAGAGTAGCAGGTGCCTCTGGGGGCTGTCATTTCTCTTTCTTTCTTCTTTTCTCCCCCCTCTTACTGTGGATTGAACTCTGGAATCACTGAGCTCCAACCCCATCCCTTTTAATTTTATTTTGAGACAGAGTCTCACTAAGTTGCCCAGGTTGGGCTTGAACTTGAGATCCTCCTGCCTCAGCCTCCCAAGTGCTGGGATGACAGGCGTGCACCATCTCACCTGGCTCCCATTCCTTTCCATTGCTGCTTGGCAGCAGCTCCAGACTCACCACCGGGAAGAAAGCTAGGACCACCGAGGCCACCGTGATCTCCACCACGAGAATGACAGCCATGGTCACGAGGAACTGCAAGACACACAGGGACACAGAGAACTGGCAGCCAGGTCCCTGCACCTCACCCCTCTTGGCTTCTCCAGTTTGGAAGACCTCATACCCAGGAGAGGCAGGAGGCTGCTGGGTTTCATTTCCCCCAAGTGGCTTCCCGTATACACGGACTGGTCGAGGGTGCCAGGATGGGGTCCCTGGGAGATCTGGGGCTGGATGCCTATTTTGGAAGGTTAAAAAGAAACCTAAGAAGCCAAGTGTGGTGCTGCATCCCTGTAATCCCAGCACTTGGGAGGCTGAGGCAGGAAGATCCCTGCAAGTTCAAGGCCAGCCTGGGCTACATAGTGACTTTAAGGCCAGCCTGAGACCCTTTCTTTCAAAAAAAAAAAAAGAAAGAAAGAAAGAAAGAAAAAAAGAAAAACCAGGGATGGATTAAACCTAGGGTGCAACAACCCATTCAGACCACACCGTAAGGGACCTGAGCATCAGAGCCCCAGTGGAGAGGGAGAAACAGAGCCAGCTGCTGGGGAGAGGTGAGGTCAGGATTGCTTGAGAATAAGCAAGGCATGGAAACTGCACCATACTACCTGCAGGATCCTGCTTGGAATTTTCTTTTTCTAAAGTTAATAGCTATGTCTACTCCTTGTCATGGCCACCACTCTCTCTCTCTCTCCATTTTGGTTTTTTTTTAAGAATTTAATGTGGTGAAACACACATAAAATGGATCATCAAACTGTTACATCTCACAATTTCAGGCGTGAAGTGCATTCACATTGTGCTGGCCTTGAACTCACAGAGATCCTCCTACCTCAGGCTTCTGAGTGCTGGGATCACAGGTGTGCGCCACACACTCAGCTGCTTTTTAAAATTCATCCACCTTTGTAGCACACACTGAGCACATCATTGTGGGGAGTTGGTGTGTGGACAAACACATCTTCATTCTTTCTTCATCCCCTCCTGCCCCTCTCCCTCCCTGTCTTGGTGGCAAAGATCTATATCCCTGATTCCTATTCTCTATCTTCATTTTGCTCTTTAAATTATTTATACTTTGGGTGTCTCATATAAAAGAAATTGTTCACTATTTAAGCCTGTGTGTCTGATTTACTTCAGTTAGCATTATGGTCTCACGGTGCATCCATTTTCCTACAAATGGTTCAAACGTGTTCTTCTCTGTGGCAGAGTGGCGTATAAACACCACATCCTCCTTATCCATTCGCCCGTCAGTGGACACACAGGCCACTTCCAAGATTTAGCTCTCATGGGTACATGTGCTCTACACATGGGTACACGAGCGTCACCGCTGAACTTCTGTGTGCTATGTCCTGCATGTGTGTGGCAGTTACAACAGTGCTGGGTCTGCAGAGGACAGACACATGGGCCAGCGGGACCGAAAAGTGTGCCCAGGACAGAGCCAAGTAGTGCGGCACCTCGTGTGACAGAGGAAGACCGGATGGGCCCTGCAACACATGGGACAGTTTGTCACCCAAAGGGGGAAGGCAGGGCACCTGATCCCTACCTCACACCGCACAGGCAGCTGCCAGAGGCTAAGGAGCCAAAGCAGGAAACGAGACTTATGCCTAGGAGAAGATCATGTACAAACTTGGGGAGGGGAGGATTCGAAACAGGATGCATCATAAAGGGGGAAAGGATACATTTGCAAATTAAAACCACACTGAGCCTCCATCTTGCCCCAGAAAGAATGGGCATCATGAAGAAATCAAATCATAACAAATGCTGGTGAGGCTGCGGGAGAAAGGAACCCTCTACACTGTTGGGAATGTGAACTGGTATGACCCCCATGGAGATCATGTGTAGATTCCTCAAGAAACGAAAACCAGAAATTCCATTCGACCCAGCTATTCCCCATCTACGTATCTTCCCAAAAGTATTAAAGACATCAGACCACAGTGATCCATGCACACCTGTGTTGATAGCAGCACAGTTCATAATAGCTAAATCTCGGATGCAGCCTACATGTCCATCAGTAGATGAATGGGTGGTATTTACACACAATGGAGTACTACACTGTTCTAAAGAAGGGTAAACTTGAGTCATCTGTAGGAAAATGGCTTCACCTTGAGACCATAAGGCTAAGAGAAATAAATCAGACACACACTCTTCAATGTTACATGGTTTCTCTTACATGAGCCACTCAAAGTATAAATTATTTATTTATTCATTTTTGCCTCTTTGAGCCAAGGGCCACCTATGTAGTTCAGGCTGGTCTTGAACTAACCATGTACCCCGGGCTGCCCTCACATCTATGGTGATCCCCCTGCCTCAGCTTCTCGAGTGTTGGGATTACCAGCATACCTGGCTCTAAAGTCTAAATAATTTAAAGACCAAAATAAAAGATAATAGAAAAGAGGGAGGGGCGAGGGATTTAGCTCAGTGGTTCCGCCGCCTGCCTTGCAAGCACAAGGTTCTGAGTTCGATCCCCGGTACCAAAAAAAAAAAAAAAAAGAAAGAAAGAAAAGAGGGAGATAGATTTTTTTTTTCCAAGTGGGAAGAAAACCAAGAGATGGAAGGAAGAAGGAAGAGTAAAAGGAATGAAGACAGGTTATGTCCATGCACCAATTCCCTACGATGAATGTGACCATTTCGTATGGCAAACGTAGACTCAAAAACATTTTGCAGAGCACATCTGCTACCATAAAGTGAGATACCATGAACACAAAGTAGAAGAAGACATAGCCCAAAGGAGTTTGTAAGAATCGAGGAAGGATTTGGTCGTGCCAGGGCAGTTTGAGGGCCAATGTGTGAATCTGACTTACAAACAAGAGGCTACCTCGGCTTTCTTTCTTCGCGATGCACCACCCAACCAGGGCCAGCAGTACTGCGAGGCAGCCCAAGCCCAGGCACAGGTGGCTGATGTGCAGGTGATATGTGGATGCCGGCCCCAGGACCCTGGTCAGGGCAGCCTCTCCATACTTGATACCAACGCCCAGGCCAATGAGGATCACACCGGATGCCTCCAGAACAAAAATCAGAAAAGAAAAATGTGCTGTATACAAATAACTCTCTCGCCAGGCGTGGTGGCGCATACCTATCATCCTAGCACTCAGGAGGCTGAGGCAGGAGGATCATCACAAATATCGAGGCCAGTCTGGGCTATGTAGTGAGTTCAAGGCCAGCCTGGACTACATAGCAAGATTCTGTCTCAAAATAACAACAACAACAACAACAAACTCTCCCTGGGTAAAGAGAAGCAAAAGCTGATAAATTCAGCAAAAATGTTAAGAAATGGTAATACTGGAGTTGGTGTGATGTAGGAACATTCTCATAATTGCTGCCAGGCAACAATTTTGGGGGCGTGAGTTAAGAGGACACTTTGAAATTTGTATTTAAAACCATAAAGAATCTGCCTGTTATGATGGCGCACAGGTGTAATACTTGCTACCCAGAAGGCTGAGGCAGGAAGATGCCAAGTTCAAGGACAGCCTGGGCAGATTAATGAGATCCTATCTAAAACTTTAAAAGACTAAAAATAAAAAATGGGGAATCCTCAGCACTGAAAATAAGTTGGGTTTTTTTTGGTACCAAGGATCGAACTTCGAGGCAAGCAGTGGAACCACTGAGCTAAATCCCCGGCCCCTATTTTTAATTTTTTTTTGAGACTCGGTCTTGTTATGTAGCTCAGGCTGGGCTTGAACTCACTGCGTAGCCGGGGCTGGCTTCGAACTGTGATCCTCCCACCTCAGCCTCCCGACTGCTGGGATGACAGGTGTGCACCACCACACCAGGATCTTTATATTCTAAAATGAAAACAATTAGTTCTTCAGCAATGCATATTTGGAATTAATTTTATACTATGAAAAATATTTTTGAAAAATGTAAAAATCAAGAAAATACAGGTCTGGGGAAGGCTTAGTGGCAGAGCGTGTGCTTAACACATTTGAGGAGGCCCTGGGTTCCATCCCCAGCACAAAATAAAAAGGGAGAAGGAAGGGAGGAACAACAGATGGAGGGAAGGATTGATTTTTTAAATCACATCTTCCTGGGCTCCCATGTAACTTGACTTGCACAGCACGGGATGCGGAGCACCCCTGGGCTGCCCCAGGGTCCCAGGGTGGCCAGCGTTTGGGTCGGCTTCCCCACCTCCACCACACCAGGCCGCCTGCCCTACATGCCTGGCTCCCTGGTGACCACACATCCGCAGGCCAATCTGGACCGACTTATTTCTGTCTTCCCGGGAGCGGAGCCGGCCTGGGTGTGACACACTTACAGCCACCAGGCTGTTGAGGAGTGACAGCAACCTCCTCAAGGAGTAGGGCCTGTGCGCCTGCGGCTCCGCCATGCCAGCCTGCCAGGACACACGACTAGGTCAGCATCTTCCTGGCCTCGGCTGCTGTTTCCCAAGGGGCCTGGCTCTATGGGGGGCACAAGCTGACTGGCCGGCTGTGCCCCTCTGGCTCCCTCACCTCGGGGGCTGCCCCAGGCACAGCCTTTGTCACATCACAATCTGACGCCAGCAAGACAAGTGTCCCACACTGTCCCCTGTTGTTGCCCCTCATCCTCCACGCAGGCTCCACTGGGGATGGAGAAAAGGCATGTTGTAGCCGAGTGTGGTGGTGCACTCCTGTCATCCCAGTACTCTGGGAGGCTGATGCAGGAGGATCGCAAGTCTGAGTCCAGCCTGGACAATTTAGCGACTTAGTGAGACCCTGTCTCCAAAAGTAAATAAATGGCCTTTTTTCCAGGGTGTGATGGTGCTCACCTGTAATCCTAGTACTCAGGAGGATGAAGCAGGAGGATCCCAGTGAGCTCCAGGCCAGCCTGGGTTACATAGTGAGTTCAAGGTCACCCTGAACTACACAGTGAGACCCTGTCTCAAAAAACAGACAAAACAAGGGCTGAGGATTTAGCTCAGTGGTTCCGGCGCCTGCCTCGCAAGCGCAAGATCCCGAGTTCGATCCCCGGTACCAAAAAAAAAAACCAAACAGACAAAACAAAAGAAGGGCCTCTTTTGAAATGAGGAGCCTGAGCCAGAGAACTCAGGGCTTGAAAATGGGGATGCAAAGGCACATGGGGTACAAAGGAAGGTTGTGAAATCTGGGTCAAGTGGATGTAAACGAGGCTGGAGAGCAGGAGCACAAGAAGGACAGTAGGAGATGGAGAGTGCGGTGCAAAGGAGCGTGGGGACGCGGGGGACGCGTGAGTGAGTGGAGCACAGAGGACAGGATGAGCAGGCGGGAGGCAGGGGTCAGAGACTACATGGGAACCTTACCCCTACGGCCCCGCCCACCTCCCTAGACCACTCCCATCCCCCGCCCCCTCGCCAGCCCGCTTCCTTTCGACCCCGCCCCCAGGAGTCCCGCCCTCTGAATGACATCGCCCCCTTGACAATTCCTCCCTCTGAAGCACCGCCCCTCTCCAGAGGGCCCTCCGGCCCCGCCCCTTCGCAGCCTGGCTTCGGGCATAGCCTCGTGCGCCCCCTGGTGGCGATCAGCGGAAGCGCAGTCCTGCCTGGGGTCACTGGGCCCTCCTGTGAGCCCATCCCAGAGACTGCCAGCCGCATTCAAATGTGCCCGGGACCAAAGACCCGCTGCTTGGCCGTCAGCGTGAGTAAGTGGAACAGAGACGGCGCTCCCCGCCCCCGCCCCGCACACTCAGGAGCATACAGATTGCCCAGGCATCGGCGGAACTCTAACAGGCATCTGCCTGGAACACCAGGAGGCAGCAGCGGGCAGGCCAGGGGTGGCGGAGCACGCCTGTCATCCCAGCACTCCAGAGGCTGCTGTGAGTTCAAGGCCAGACACTGCCACTACAAAGCGAGATCCTGTCCAAAAAATCCAAACCAATGAAACAAAAATCCTCAGTCATGTTTAAGTCCTGTCCAGGCAGTCTTGAGCCAGGAGGAGCAGAGGGCAGCAGGGGGCCGATCCTGTAGGGCTAGAAGGACCAGAGGCTGAGAGAAGGGTCCAAATAAGGGTCCAGGTGGCACCAAGTGGCCACCAGCGCAGTGGGTGAGGGTGACAGTCCTTGAGGGGCTTCTGCTCCTTAGCCTGTGGATCTCAGGTTAGAATTTCCTGTCTTTGTGGGGGGGGGGGGACTTGAGACAGGTTCTCACTACGTGGTCTTGAACTCACTATGTAGCTCAGGCTTGCTGAGAACTCATAGAGACCCTCCTGCCTCAGCCTCTTGAGTGCTAGGATTACAGACACGCATCACTACACCTGGCATTGGGGGGGGTACTGGGGATCGAACTCGGGTCCTTGAGCTTGTGCAGCAAGCGGCGAAACCACTTCGCTAAATCCCCCACCCCACACCTGGCATTTATTGATCTTGAAACAAAGTTTCACTAAATTGCCCAAACTGTGCTGGAATTTTCAATCCTTCTTTTTTTGTTGTTGTTTTTGTTTTTGGTACTGGGGATTGAACTCGGGACCTTACACTTGCAAGGCAGGCGCCAGAACCACTGAGCCAAATCCCCAGCCCTTCAATCCTTCTGATTCAGTCTTCTGAGTACCTGGGATTACAGGCAAGGGCCACCATACCTGGCTTATTTTATTTTTTAAGATGAGTTTTCACTATGTTGCCCAGGCAGGTCTAAAATTCTTAGATTCAAGAAATCCTCCTCCCTCAGTCTCCTAAGTAACTAAGGTTACTACACTGTGTCTAACCAGCAAATAGGATCTTTTAAAACTTGTGGGCAAAAGTTTCTCTTTCTAGGAATTTCTACTGCAGATTTATTCAAAGGCATATTAGCCAGAGTTGGTACACTTTCTAGAAAGTGCCAGGGTGTAAATATTTGGGCTTTGCAGAGCCTACCATCTCTGTTTGGTTTCTGCCAGTGTAGTTATAAAAAAATATAAATGAGCCGGGCGTGGAGGCACACGCCTGTCATCACAGCACTAGGGAGACTGAGGCAGGAGGATCCCTGTGAGTTTGAGGCCAGCCTGGGCTATAGTGAGTTTAACGCCTCAACTACATAGTGAGAATAAAAATATGTGAATGTAAAGGCAGGGCTATGTTGCAATGAAAAATTTATAATATAACTTTTTTTTTGTACCGGGGATCAAACCGGGTCCTTGTGCTTGCGCAACAGGTGGTGAAACCACTGAGCTAAATCCCTGGTCCTAACATTTTTAATATACAAAGACAGCAGGATATTGTTCTCCCAACACTAACTCTTAAGCTTGGTTTGAGTTGGTGAATGTTTGGAAATAACCTAAATATCCTTCAAAAAGAACTCGTTAAACGGTGGTGCATGCCTGTAATCACAGCATGGGAGAGGCTGAGGCAGGAGGATCTCAAATTCAATTTCAAGATCTCAAATTCAAGCTAAATTGCCCAGGCTGGGCTCAAATTTGAGATCCTCCTCCCTCAGTCTTCCAGAGTGCTGGGATTATAGGCATGTATCACTGGGATCAAGGTATTTTTATATCAATTTTTTATCAATTTCTGAAGACTTGTCTCTGACCTGCAGAAGGTAGAAGGATCTACTTTTACTTTCAACATAGAATGATGGGCTATTGAAATCTGCACTGCTGTTGAATTCATAGTATCTCAAAAAAGGAGGGTGTCCTCTTTGTGAATTTAAAGTGTGGAATTGTGCTGGATTAAACCAATAACGTAGTTTCGAGTCTGCAGCTATCTCCCCGATAAACTCTAGAGGGCGCTGCGCGCATAGAAAACCGTATCGATGGCGACTCCTGGGGGCTTCCCAGGGCTGCAGCCCCCATCACGAGGGTCAGATGAGCAATCCTTCTGCCTAAGTCAGCACGCAGGTCAGTATTGTCTTTCTGTGGTTCTGAGGATGGGAGCCAGGGCCTTGCACATGTTAGGCAAGCCCCCCCCACTGAGCTCCACCCCCAGACCCAACACACACACGCACACGCACACGCACACCCTCCCCAGCACTGAGAGCGTGGAGGAACCAGCCAACTCTTGGTCCGGTTCTTGATTTCTAAGGCTGGGGGTGGAGCTCAGTGGTAGAGGACTTTCCTTCGATAGAGTGATAGGCAGGCGTGGTTAGTATCTCACACCTGTCATCCCAGCATTTGGAGGCTGAGCCGGGAGGATTGCCATGAGTTTGAGCCCAGGCTGGGCTACATAGTGAGTTCACACCCAGTTTGGACTACATGAATCCCTGTCTCAAAATTAAATAAATAAATGTTATCCTTCTCTTAAAGGAACCAAAGCTTCTTGAAGAAATGGTTGGAATCCTGGACCAGGAAGGAAAGTTCAAAATAAGTTTGGATCCTTTTGTTCTGTCAGAAAGAAAGTGCCCAAAGTCTACTGGCCCTGTGTCAGAAAGGCAATATTGGGCAGGGGATTTAGCTCAGTGGTTCTGCCTCCTGCCTCGGAAGCACAAGGACCGGACTTCAATCCCTGGTACTAAAGGGAAAAAAAAAAAAAGATTAAAGAAAGACAATATTTATGATGACCTTGAATCCCCGGCCCAATGATGACCTTGTTTTTGTAAAACATATATTTTCGCAGAAAGTGGTAGTGCATGGTTGTCATTCCAGCAGCTTCTGAGGCTGAGGCAGGAGGACTACAAGCTCAGACCAGATTGGGCAACTGAGAGAGAGCCTCTCTCAAAATAAAAAGTAAAGGGCTGGGGATTTAGCTCAGAGGTTCTGGTGCCTGCCTTGCAAGTGCAAGGACCTGAGTTTGATCCCTGGTACCAAAAATAAATAAATAAATAATTTTTTAAAAAAAGTAAAGAGGGCTGGAGGTGCAGCGCTGGGGCAGAGCAGCCCTGGGTTCAGTCTCCAGTGCTGAAAAACAAAACCTTCCTGTTACAAGGAAAGAAAATTGAAAGCAGAGAGGAGTAGAGTGGAAGAGAAAGTTGTACTCCTGCCCTGCAAGGCCGGCCCTTGCCCGTCCTCCCTTTCTCTGCCCTGGGCCAGGCTGGTGTCACTGTGCGGGAATCATTTCAGACCTCTCCGTACAGAGCTGTGAGACAGGTTGCTGCTCTCTTGTTTGAGAATGCATCATTTTCATGCTGAGGCACCAGCCCTGAGCTCTTGTACAAGACCACAAGAGACTGACGATCACTTGCCCGGCATGTGGGGGACCCTGTGCTCCCCAGACAACAACCCCAGAACAAAAGATCTCAGGGATTTCACAGTTCTAAGAAGGAGCCTCAAATTCTTCAGCCACCGAGGCCCACTAGTGAGCACCAGAAGTTTGTTTTCCATTTTTCCTTTTTATACATAAATCACGGTTTGTTTATCTAAGTGCACTTCCGCACTGGGCAGGGTTTTTTTTGACTGTTTTCCAGCACTGGGGTAGAACCCATGGCCTTCACCAATTCTAGCCCTGTGCTCTTCCCACTAAGTTACCCAG